ATATATATAGAGAGAGAGAGAGAGGGAGAGAAAGAGAAGGAGGGAGAGAGAGAGAGCGGGAAAGGAGAGGAGAGAAGAGGAGAGTGAGTGAGTGAGTGATTGATTGATTGATTGAGTGAGTGTATGGAGTGTTCGGTTTGGAGATTGAATGGAGTATGTATTGGTTGGAGAATTGAGTTGTATTTTAATGAAGAGATGAGTGCAATGTGTCGTTGGTGTTGACTCGTATCATCGATAGGATGTGTGTGTTCGTGTGATTTTGTGTGTGTGTGTGTGTGGTGTGTGAGTTTGAGTGTGTCGGTACTAGTTGGCGTTAGTGTTTGTGGTAGCGGTGTCGAAGGGTGGTACGCCTCCAGGACGGGGTGGCCGAGTGGTTAAGGCGATGGACTGCTAATCCATTGGGGTTTCCCCGCGTGGGTTCGAATCCCATCCCCGTCGAGTGTCGCTTTTAGACGCACATCACCTCACCGACCACACACACTACACCACACTGTGCAACATGACTCACACTCACAATGCCTACCCGACTGACTTACACCACCGGCTGTTCCCGAGTTCAACTCGCATGCATATGATCGGGTCTGTTTGCACACGACCGACCGAAAACGATCGTCGCTCCAACACACCTCACCATCGATAACATATCACACGTCTACATGATCACGCATCACTCCACTGAGTCGCGACAAACACAGTCATCGTTTCACTGACCAACTGGATCACCAATTCTTACAACCTCCTCAATAATCCATCCACTACCACCAACCGACAGTTCACATCGGAACACCGAAACAACCGGAGCGATGAGTCATTGAACGACCGAGTCGAGGCATCCATCTAACCGTGATTCTGTGCCTGCATCTATGTGTGATTGCATCACTGCCTGATTATCTAAATAGCAACACCAACCAACCAACCAACCAACCATCCATCCATCCATCCATCCATCCATCCATCCATCCATCCATCCATCCATCCATCCATCCATCCATCCATCCATCCATCCATCCATCCATCTATTCTTACGTTTGCTCAATCGTTCTTTCATTTGCTTGTCACTTAGTGTTTCTTTCTCGTCATCTTGTTTAGTGGAAATCTCGGTCTCTCACATATCCAGCTTATCCATTTGTCCACGTGTCCGATTATCCGATTGTCTATCGGTCAATAATCAGTCGGACAGTCTGTTGGTCGTCTAGCCATCAAGTCAGCACACCAGACAGTCAGCCAGTCACTCAGTCTATCAGATGTTCGGTCAATCATTCGTCCGTCCCAACCTCCAATATCATGACCAATTCACTGCGACTCAGTGCTACTTTGTCATCACGACTGTTCTGCGTCGGTCATATCAAGTCCGTACATTGTGCTGGTCAGACGATTCGGTTTTCACGTAGAGTGATCGACACCACAACGTGAATGTAAATGCACATGTGTGGTGAGTGGGGTATGGAGAGTGAGTGAGAAGGATATATATATATATATATAGAGAGAGAGAGAGGGAGAGAAAGAGAAGGAGGGAGAGAGAGAGAGCGGGAAAGGAGAGGAGAGAAGAGGAGAGTGAGTGAGTGAGTGATTGATTGATTGATTGAGTGAGTGTATGGAGTGTTCGGTTTGGAGATTGAATGGAGTATGTATTGGTTGGAGAATTGAGTTGTATTTTAATGAAGAGATGAGTGCAATGTGTCGTTGGTGTTGACTCGTATCATCGATAGGATATGTGTGTTCGTGTGATTTTGTGTGTGTGTGTGTGTGGTGTGTGAGTTTGAGTGTGTCGGTACTAGTTGTCTTTATTGTTTGTTTTAGCTTTTTTACTCCTCAGCAGTGTGCATTCGCGACCACGCCTCGCGAAACTCGAACCGATTACCTACTGGCTCTTGCCAGATCACTTAAGCGACAGACCACTTGGCCGATATCTATGATATTAATATCTAACTTCAATCAATCCACGAAGTTGTGCAACCGTTCACTATTTATCTTCAATGTGTTGATATCTCACGACAGACGTTGTTTGATCTCCATTGGTCACTGATTCTCACTAGAACTCCTAGATTTACCTCTCGAAGTCAGTCACTAGTGAGCACATTATCATTATCACAAGGGGTTTTTTGTGGAGATATAGTACTTTCAATGTAACAAATCTCAATAACAATAAACACTAGCTGAGGGTAAACGATTGATAGTTAAATAATTTGAAAGCGTCAAAATTTGATTTAACCAATGTTCAAACAAAATAATACTGGCGATTGTCGAAGAATATCTTGTTTATTCTCATTTATTCGTAGCGTACAAATTATCTAAGATATTATCTTAGTTGAATGATTTTTAACTGTTCACTTATTGATCATTCGAATACTGGTTTACATTACTCGATATCATGGTACTTTTACATTGATATCAAATGACCTGCAAAAAATTGGTGGGAGCCAGTTGACACGATCACTCGTTAGTAAGTAATAAGTTCAGAACTTTCTGTCAGCTGCCTCTGACCACCTGCTCTGGAGACATCATGCACCAACTATTTCAATGGTTATCGAGTTCATTTCTATACCGGTCAATCACTGAGTTCTTTTTATTAACGGTTTAGAATAACTCCCATTATTCAGGACAGTATTTAGGCATGCATCAGTATTACACACCTCCTACTGACAAATTTGAATGCTACAGTTGTTTTTACTGAAATCGAAGAATTACAAGGTATTTTACAATCAGTGAATTTTAAAATTATCTACAGAGGGATGTTAGTAGGTTCTAGCCAAACCAACCATCAATCAAAATTGTATTTACGTTAGACGTCAGATCACCGAATAGTTGACAGTTGACTAAGCTTCATCAAAATCAAGGATAACCAACACGGATTAATTGATTCCACGCTATGAACAGGTACATTCATCAATGGTTCCATTATGTTCTTCTCTGATTTGTTCTCACTAATAAATACCGTTGTTCCAGTAAGATTCTATTAGATCTGTATAAGTCGCCAAGGAAGATTATCCACCTGGTTACCAAGATAGGATAAGCCTGGTTATCAACCAACCTCAAAGTGTGGCTTTGATGTAAGCTAGGAAGTCACATCATTCCCATCCAACTCAAATAAACAACCATCCACACAGATAACCTACATTGGTAAACTACAAATGTAGTTGTTTACTTCTCTTCTTTCTACTTTAACGAAAATGTGTTTGTTTTTTGTTTTAGAAAAAAAGATCTACAATGACTCAACAAGTTTTACTTATCATATTTCATAATAGTTATTTGTACTTCTTTATATTCAAGTCACTAATTATCAGTAATTGACTTCATTAAATATTTAATTTTAATCATTTGGCAAAAGAGAAACTAAACAAACACATCGTTTAGGCCAAACGACCAAACACCTTCATTTACGTTCTAAATGTAATCAATCAAGAGTAATTCTTATGATATTACAGAAGTCAATCAATGAACTGAAAAATTGAATTTTCTGCTCATTGATCTTCTATCGATCAATATGATTATATTATTCTGGATAATTTTTGCACATGATAATAGAAATCGATAAGTCATCGATATAAGTTCGTTTAAATCTAATAAATTCCGTTATATATATATTCGTTATTATTGTAGAATGAAAGGTCGGTCAGAATGAAAATTATCACTGAAAGTAAGTCAATTGTCCACTATATGTTTATGATAAAAGTAATAAAGTACGAGACTTATTCGAATAAGTACTTTGGAAAAAATTATTACTTTTTACGGGACCACACCCGAAGCCTTTGACCTAAAGATTTGATCCACAAGGCAGTGGAGAAACGCCAGGAGATGTAGTCTTATGGTAGCCGGTCACCAACAATCGGTTCATATGTCATTTGTCCCCCCCTTAGGGTCCTGGAGCCCATGTGCACAATTGGTTTGGAATCAGGGTTTGTCAGATGGATCCTTCATATCCACCGACCCTGTTAAAGCACCGGACATTCGTTTTTCATTCTCTCATTTTCGTAAACAACACCTCTGCCACAAGAAGGCAGTAAGTAGGACTTCCCTGAAAGTGGCTTTATACTAGTGGTCATGTGAGAGCATTTCGAGAGTTTGAGCCGATTCTCCGCACCCTCGGCAGTACCAGGGCATTTGTGGGCTAGAAAAAAGTATTTTAAAAAAATGAATTTTCGTTTTGTAATAATTTCACCACCATCTTTAAAATTGAGAAGTATTCGATTGTCAGCATTCTTACTTGAATTGTGCTTTATAATCTTGAAATTGTGTTCATCAACTAGATTCTTCTTCACGAATTAGTTTTGCTAACTGTGCAAATGGGGCAAACACACATGTCTTTCTCATAGGTTAGTCGTCATTCTCAACAGCTTAATGGTAAATCTTTTAAAGTGTGAAGTTTTTTCACTTGTCATCATGCCATTCTTTTCATATTGATGAACCGATCTTCATAATCCATCTAGTTAAAAGTCATTCAGTCCTATGTAATGTAGAAACTTGGATATATTTGGGTTTTTTTCAAGTTGCTGTCGTAATAACCCAATCTAGCTATATTGTCTTGAACACTCAGCCACTTAGTTCTACGTCTGCCAGAGAATGGTAAGACCAAAAGTAGAAACTGAGAGTCCGAAAGCACAGTCCTACTGCTGACCTTACAGGGTCGCTTTCCGTAGACAAATAGTATCTGCAGTGACTCTGTCTGTCCACGATAGCAGGAGGGATCAGAAAAATTCAACCCTGAAAACAGTACACCTAATCTCACCATACTGATTTTCGTCGCTGGAGGTGAGGCCATTAAAACATAGAGCTAGCAAATGAAGAACAACTCGTAAAAAGACTATGTGTGACCAGCCTCAATCAATCATCTCTTGAGTGCTGGAGTCATGCTCCCAGATCGTTAAAACTACATTTCATTTAGTTTCATTTTCAGTTCCCACACTAGGAAGCATCTTTACACAGTGAGCAACTGGAAGATCACAATCTATCAAATAGCACTAACATCACAGTATATCACCTTGTTGACCATTAAAATCCCTTCTTGGTTTACTAATAATTCTTTTGTCGCTACTATCAACCATCCTCCTTTATCCTCATCCTTAATCAGTGGTAATTATACAAGTTTACCAAATGTTATTCCTAGTCTCCTAAAACCACATTTCAAACCCAACTTAAAGATAAAAACTTTTCTTTCATATCTATTTATCATCAACAATTAACAAATGAAGAGAACCTATCGAAAAAACAACAATGAATTCATGTTATTCTGTTGAAATTTTCGTTTTAATTCTTTTCAAAACAAATATATCAATTAATTCATTGTAAACTTTAAACTCAATAATAGAAAGAAGAAGAAAAGAACAAATAGAGCACAAGAATTATTGATTTATTTTCTTTGAATATTCGATAATCCTCCACTAACATTACATTTATAAGTAGTATTGGTAGTAGTGTGGGTAGTAGTAGTATTAGTAGTATTATTATAGTATTCGTATTTGTATTAGTAGTAGTAGTAATAGTAATAGTAATAGTAGTAATAGTAGTAATAGAAGTAGGGAAAATTCCATTTTACTTCATTTCATTTGAATTATTGAATTATAATAAGTAATGCAATTGTATTATGTTTTGATTATTTTTGTTTTCTTTCTATAATAATGCATACATCTACACAATTCAGTGTAGTTTTATTCCGGATAAACTACATGCATTGATTTTTGACATTGAATAGTAATATAATCTATTAGGTTATGAGTAGAGTAGGAGTATTTTTTTAAAAAAAGATGAAAAAAAAATATTTAAACTGTAGGTTCTTTTTCAGAAGTATTATGACATTTATTAGTTTTATGCTAATGAATCATTACTGAAACCACTGATGACGATCTCATGAGACAGCTTTTAACCATTTACAAAGTATTCATTCAAATTATAAATGTTTATGCAACAGTATTTAGTTGAGATGGATAGTGGCTAACAGTGGAATCCAGCACGTGCGTTTCGTCCTATTTGGGACTCGTCAGCTGGATGTACCTTTATCTCAGAGTTTATGTTCACTCTGGGATGCTAACCCAGTATCGTTCTCTTCAAACACCATCGCCATACCAAGCGAATTTAAAATTCACTCCATTGCACAAGTAACTGACTATCAAGAATCAGTAGATAACATGATGGCGTTTGAAGCGAATGGTATTGGGTTAGCATCCTAGAATGAAAATAAACTCTGAGATAAAGGTACATCCAGCTGATGAGTCCCAAATAGGACGAAAGGAGCGCCCTGGATTCCACGGCTAGCTACTATCCATCTTTGCTTATAAAGCTTATGACTTCAGGCAATATGGAGGCAGTGCGCACAGGATGCACATATGCCAACAAGAGACTGATCAATTGCAGTCCTAAATAACAATGGGAAGATACAAGTAAACAACACCATGTGAATTTAGTATTTAGTTGACTTGTCAAATAATTGATGATTGAAAAACAGTTGTCGTGAACTGTCGTAACCAATAGAACTCTATCAGCATTAACAATAATACAATATACTGCATTATTTACCATAGAATATGGTCAAATAATGCAATCAAATTAGTTTTATAAATGGTAATTATTAGTAGTAGCTCGAATAGTGAAATGATCACATCTTTAACCTAAAACAGTGAGTAAGTATGGGTTTAAATTCTTAGGTCTTTCAATATTGTAGACATCCTTAGAAAACAATGAACAATTGACATCCATAACTTCTTAACTGAATATATTCAACCGAAAAATGATCTCTTTTTCAGATTAAATTTGCCTCATGTATTCAGTGTTGTGAGTAAACAGTCAATTACTAGGCATATATGTATCTTCTTTATGATTAGGCTATCAAATTTATATTCATATCACTGACAAATTACTTTCATAATCAAATCTAAAACTAATTTTTTAATTAAGTAGTTTAACCAAGAAAGTGTCGAAAACTATGAGAATGTGATACATTAGTAGTCAACTAACCAATTCAATGTGTTTGATTGACATAAAAGAGGTTATAGTCTAAGATGGTAAAGAAATATATTGTCGATTATTCTTTATTTAACATTTTTCTTTCTAAAATCGATCGTCTTTCTTTTTATGTCCAAATCATACAAAAGATGAGATTTGTTCTTACTGTTAATAGAAGGAAATCAAAGTTAGCTGGTAGAACAGGGGAATTCATCTTTAGAATTACTGATAGTCTCTTTAAAACTAAAACTCTCTAGGACTCAATGAAACATGTTGAAAATACTTTGATGAATCAATTCTTTTTTGAAAACTTCGAAGCAAATGAATCTATTAAACAAGTGATTGTGTTTTTTTAATTCCGATTGAACAGATGCTAAAATGTAAATCTGTTACTCATAATTGTATCACAAACCCTGGAAGACTTGAAAAGTTTCACGTACCTGGGCAGAATCATTAACAAACCATGGTGGTCTGATGCAGATATGAGCGCACAGATTGAGAAGGCGAGGTCAGTATTCCTACAATTCAAGAACATCTCAAGCTCTAAATAACTGTCACCAAACACCATGGTCAGAATTTCTAATACAAACGTGAGGAGAGTCTATTAGAAGGAGCTGAAACTTGGAGAATAACTACAACCATCATCAAAACGTACAGATATTTATAAACAAAAGTCTACTCAAAATACTCCAGATCCGTTGGCCAGACACCATCAACATCAACCTACTGTGGCAGAGAGCAAACCAGCTTCTAGTTAAATAGTAAATTGGGAAAAGACGCTGAAGGTGGGTAAGATACACTGTGGAAATTATTAAACTGCATTACTAGGCAAGCCATAACTTAAAATCCTCAGGGCGAAAGAAAAAGAGTAAACCGAGGAATACATTGCATTGGAAATTGGAGGTTGATATCAAGAGAACGAATAGTAAATTGCAACAACTGAAAAAGATAGCTCAGAATAGCGTAGGCTGGAGACTCCTGACCGGCGGACTATGATCCACTAAAGGTAACAAGCATAAGTAAATAAGCAACATGGCATGAGGATTTATAGTAGCTAAGTCTGGAATTATCCTTATTGGCGTGGGTGAAGTGTCAACACTAATGATGCCCCTCTCAGAATCCAATGAGCTAACTATATAACACAACTACCAGTTGTCTCAAAGTCTTTCTGTTTCTATATCCAGCCTAACTGATATTAGAGTTCAGTATTTCCTATTTCTATCTATCCACGAATAGGCCATTGGTGGTCAGTGGATCAATACCTTTTCATTCAAGTGAAGTGGAATAAGTTATACAATAAAACCATGTCTTAAATGGAAGAGTGGAAAATTATGTGAAGCAGATATACTACTGACAAATAGTAAGTAATACGTTTTGATTAAAAGTAAAACGAATGACATATTTTAATGCCAGTATGTTATGAAAAGATACATTTTTATACACGATGCCTATAAGAAAATCATCAAACGTGAATAGTGAAATTAGACCTTCCATAAGGAATGCATCATTCATATCCAAGGTAAAACTAATTACATATGAGCAACATTTCGATTTACCACACCACATCAGAACAGTGAGATACCAGAATTGTATCAGTATTAATAGTATCAGTGGTAGTAGAAAACATTTGACTGAAGAAACATGATTCGGGAAGAACATATGACTTGTTATAACAGCAAGTATAAGATAGTTTAGAAACTTAGGATATAAAGAGAGAAAGAGAGAGAATACATATGAACCACTGCAATAGGTTCTCAGGCGTATCAACCAATGTCTGTAACCATTAATAAAAACTATATTTTTTTATATCCCAATGAGTGGAAAATCGTATTTCTGATGTTTCATGAATTAATGTAAGCAGCTTCTTTAGAGTGAATGAACAACGAGAAATGAATTAACACAAGTTTAAATGTAACAAAGGAAGCAATACAGAATATTTTCATTACAATCAAAATCATATAAGGCCTGAATATGTCCTAAATTTATGAATATGTGCTAGAAAAAATATTCTGCATTGTTTCCTAACACTGAGTCAAGTGACGTCGAGAATCCAAATTTCTATTCATTGGGGGTATTACAAAGATACTATTATCATTATTATTAACTTCCTACCCAATGCTCAATTTTTTTGAAACTATCAAGTCCAATCTTGGCATTGATATCTACAATCTCTAACCATTAGTTATGACAATCGAAGGGATCCCAACCAACACAGTCTTCAGTAACAAACATAACATAATTCGATGATCAGTGACCCCATGAACTGATTGATTTGACAGCTCATAGCTTCATTTCGACTTATCCCCACGCGAAGCATAAGTGTCAAAGTTAGAACACGTTAGGCTGCAAATTTTGTAAGCACTAATATTATCAAACTTATTATCAAGTCAAATTCATTAATTATTTCCTTAAAAGTCTAACATAAATGAATAAAAAAAGGTATTTCTGACTAAATTTTAATCAGAAGGGGTTTTGTGGAGATTTCAGTATTTTTCATAGTTGAAATGATGAATCAATTGAAGCTAGACCACTATGGAAAACCTGGAAGCACTGGACGGCCGTTTTGTCCTATTATGGTACTCCTCAGTAGTGTGCATCCACGATCCCACACTCACGATATTCGGACCCAGGATCTTCCATTTTTTTTAAAATTCTCGCTAGGCGGGATCGTGTATGCGCGTTACTTAGGAGTCTCATAATAGGATGAAACGGCCATCCAGTTTTTCCAGGTTTTCCATAGTAGTCTAGCTTCAATTAACTCATGATTTCAACTATAAATTTCAATCTACTTTACTTACTATATTTCTGTATAAATAAATTTGATTTACGTTTCCATCCTATACCAATTAAATAAATTGGTATACCAGATAATACTATAATCATACCAATAAATAATTCTTTTGGTCTATGAAATATTGGAAAAATTAATAAGAAACCACATATAAGTAAAAATGTTATAGGAATTATCAATGGTAAACGTATAGGTCTAGAAAGATTAGGTTGACTACGACGAAGATATAACATTGCTAGAAATGTAAAAAAAAAGAAAAAAAGAGAAAAAGATATTAAATGGATGAATATTTTACATGGAAACAACATTCATTCAAACAGATTACCTTGATTAAGTTATCATTCATAGAATATTAAGAAGAAATATAATGAATACCTTGATAGAATGAAACTTCTATTCAGGATCCCTACAATGGATCACCTACTAAGAAATTTGCTTAGTTTTTTTCTCTTTTTGAGAAAAAGAAGAGATATATAATGGAATGTGTTTATTATATGTTTTTATTATATTTTCATACTATGAAAATACTAAATCTCGACAAAACCCCTTCTGATAATTAATATAATCATATGCTCACTAGTGACTGACTTCGAGAAGTACATCAAGGAGTTCTATTGAGAAGCAGTGACCAGTGGAGTTCAAACCACGTCTGTTGTGAGATAGGAACTCACTGAAGACAATTAGTGAATGTATCGCTCACTTTCGTCGATCGGTTGAAGTTAGACATTAACACCGTTGGATACCGGCCGGCTCAGTGGCCTAGAGGTTAACCGCTCGCTCACGAGACCGATAGGTTCTGGGTTTGAATCACGTGAGACGTGATCGTGGATGCGCACTGCTGAGGAGTTCCACAACAGAACAAAACGGCCGTCCAGTGTTTCCAGGTTTTCCATGGTAGTCTAGTTTCAATTGACTCACGCTTTCAACTATGAAAATACTAAATCTCCACAAAACCCCTTCTGATAATTTATATTATATTGTTATTAAATTTGTCATATAAGGTTAAGATATTTATTTTCGAGATAAAATAATCTCTGACAATATATGAATGAACACTGCTGAAGAGTTTCACAATAGGACGAAACAGCCATATATATATATATATATATATATATATATATATAGAGAGAGAGAGAGAGAGAGTTAAACTGTCTACCGGTCAACAATGGAACATCTAATAATTTACAAAATGTTATACAGTAAATAGATAAAGCCGTTGTTCATCCAAATAACCAATATTGATAGTTCCTAATTCATATACCATACTTCATTGACATTATTTGTACATTTAAAAGAAAATATTTTAAATTTAGATCATAGATAAATTTAAAACAAACGTTAAGTATAATTCATTTTTGTATCGGTTGTTTGAATCGCAAATAGAATGAAACTCTCATCTTTTATTCTACTACTAATCACCATCTATGTTACATGAAAAATTAACTATTCTGTAAATTAATATCAAAAGGGGTTTTGTGGATATCATAGCAATTTCAATAGTTGAGATCATCAGTCAATTGAAGCTAGACTACCATGGAAAACCTGGGAACACTGGACGGCCGTTTTGTCCAATTGTGGGACTCCTCAGCAATGCACATCCTCGATCCCGCCTCACGAGATTCGAACCCAGAATCTATCGGTCTCGTGCGCGAGAGGGTTAACCTCCAGGCCACTGAAACGGCCGGTATCCAACGGTGTTAATGTCTAACTTCAACCGATCGACGAAAGTGAGCGATATATCCACCATTGTCTTCAGTAGGTTACTACCTCACAATAGACGAAATGGCCTTTCAGTGCTTCCAGGTTTTCCATGGTGGTCTAGCTTCAGTGGACTCGTGATCTCAACTATTGAAATTATTCTATAGATTGCCAATATAATAAATAAATTAATTAATTAATTAATTAGTCAACAGTTAAATATACTTATGTAATCAATAAAATATCATACCCAATATACTAGCAGCAACAGATAACCATTGAACAAATGATACATAATTAATCAATGTAAATAAATCGGATACAATAAGCATTATTAAACTTAAACAACAATTCAATAATATAGATGGTACTGGTGTTAAATGTTCAACATGAATTGTTGCTAACAAAATAGGCAATTGACCTTCTCTAGCTGCAACAAAATTCAATCTAAACAATTTTTAAAACAAAAAAACATAATAGAAATGAAGATTTAATGTGTTTTTTCAAAAAAAAGAAAAACTAATCTTATAGTTGAAATCATGAGTCAAATGAAGCTGCAACAAAGCATTGGACTGCCGTTACGTCCTATTATGGGACTCCTCAGCAATGCGCACACAAGATCCCGCCTCGCAAGATTCGAACCCAGGATCTATCAGTCCCATAATAGGACAAAACGGCCGTCCAGTGCTTCCAGGTTTTCCATGGTGATCTAGCTTCAATTGACTTATGATTTCAACTATAAAATTAATAAAATCTCCACAAAACCCCCTTCTGATGAAAACTGATTTCTTAATTTATCTGCTATTAATTTGTCAATATTCACATAGTTTGTTACATTCAATAGTTCATTTAATAAGTGTTTTACTGTATATTATGCAGTGTAATTTTGATTAGATTGCAACATTTAACAATAGATATATATCATTCCTACGTAGATTATTCTTTCAACATTTGGACAGATCAATTCATCTTTTGTTTCCCCCAGATATTATCCATATTTCACCATGTCTGTTATTCGCTTGTAATCGTGATTGCTTTTATATAAGCGTGTGTGTGCATGTGCATTGATCACCTACTCTCTTGATCATATGTTTTTACTTTGTTTTCCCATCTGACTAGAAATTTTAATTCATATATGATAAAAATGAGTTGACATGTTTTCTTTCTTAGACCAAATTCTTTCCTCTTATCGCGTGTCTGCATTTAATATACGTCCAAAAGTCATTTGCATATTTGACTTATTTTATTCTGTTGTTTACCAACACCAGTTAAGTTGATGAATGTATCTGAGGTTAAATAGGATAGATGAATTTCGTTTATATCATTTTAGTACGATCATATAAAGTTAGATAACAGCCAGTGATTGAAGTCAGTAACTTCTAGTCTTATCTATGTTAGTAGATGCAGACTACTTGATTGCAGTCCACGTGACTATCATGATCAATGGTTGGAGACTCTGGATGACATGGCTCAGAATCGATCACAACGGCGTAGATGTATATATTCTCTCTTCCTTTCAACTGTGAGATTAGAATTGCTTTATATCTTTCTTTCTACCAGCTAATTCTTTCTTCGTGTACTATAACCTTATATGCAATCTTTCTTTTATATATTATCACCATCGGATTAGCTACTTTTATGAATATGGTGTTCATCTTGTTGTGCTAATGAGGTATAGCAACTTGAACCGACGTATATATGTGCCTGGTCCTACGTTATAGCTGACTAACTGACTAACATTCATTTCAGTCTCCTACCTTTCAATAATTTCATATTTTTCATATCAAATGTTGTGTTGTACTACACTGGCATATTTATAGCAAATAATTGTAGATCGTTTCATTTGCTTAAAATGAAAATTACACTCTAATTTACATTATACAACAAAACAAAAAAAATAATAGTCATGATTATAAATAGAAAGTGGCTATGAGAACACAGTAGCTGGGTGGATAACGTGATGGTGTTTGGAGCGAATGGTACCGGGTTAGCATCCCAGAGTGAACGTCAACTCTGAGATACAGGTACATCCAGCCGACGAGTCTCAAATGGGACGAAACGCGCGTCCTGGATTCCACTGCTAGCCACTATCCATCTTTGCGTATAATCATGATTATAATTGTAAATCATAGAAGTTAAGATTAGAGTTATTTTATAATTGGTTAGTTGACTATTTAATAGAGTTATTAATGTATTTCAATTAATAGACTGAATGAGTCTATACATTCCACATATCTGTGTATACATGCCTCTCAAAACAAAACAATAAGTGAGAAATTATAAACAAAGCATATTATTGAAATAACCCGACTATGCCGTTAGTCATTGTCTCAACCTACATGTTTCTACCTACGTCACAGGACAGGTATATGTATACCTATATGCCTATGAATTTTATCCATTACTATTCATTTTGTCAGTTACAGGTACCTAGTAATTTCACAGTTTCCTAACACGTGTTTTCAGTTAAAACAAGTGTCTAAATCAAATGATTGCATAACCTGAAAAAAAATCTGATTACTATTATAACTAGATAGATTATCATTTTCATATTCACTACAGAAAGATATCTAAACAGAATTTGTTACATCCACTAGTTGAATACGGCAGAATACCGATATACAACTAACCACCCTCGAACGTGTAGAACCTCACAGTCATATATGAAAAAAAGGAAGAAGCAAGGGAAGCGATTATTGGGTAAAAGTTAAAAAATTTACAGAAAAACAAGGGTATTGATAGTTTTTAGTGTTGCTATAACATTATTATAGTCCAGCAAATCCTCAAATGGGCAAGTTATATAGTTGTCTAGTCATAGCATGCCATGCCGATATTCAAGAAGTTTCTATCAGATTTTTATTGGACGGATTCTCTTCGGCTCTTTTAGAGCTTCTGGAGGCTTCGTCCTACTTTACGGGGCTGTCCCGACAGAATTAATTAAAAATTACACAAATAATTTAATACAAAGAGTATGAAATACAAACAGATAAAATAGTAAATATACAGTAGGCTTAATTAGAAGCAGGAACCAAGAACTACTTGATCTTTTTTGTAACATATATATACTACTAACTAATATTTAGTAGTATAACTCATAAATGGCAAACGAATTCGAAGTGAAGCCTTGGAATGAACCGTTTCAACATCCAATCATTGTATTTACAAGAATAACAGGATTGTGGTAAACCGTTTCGAAGAATCCAGAATATCGTGCAACTTAAGTAGACCCTAGCTTTTAGATTATGAGAGTTAAGGTTTAGGATGTGGATTACTGAAAAGTTTGCTAAACGAAAACCCCATCCTATTTCCTAATCACTTACTAATAATACCAAATCTAATCTATAAGGCAATTTAAATACAAGAGAAAACATAAGAAGTATGGAAACAACTCTCTACTTCAAAGCTCAGTTTATGTACAATACAACGAGAGCATTCATAATGTTGCACTCAATCTCACACTTGGAATTTTCGAAGCATAGTAAATATAGTTTCAGTATAGATGGATATTCAATCGAAATTGTGGTAGGTAATTTTGCATTTTGCAGATGTTTCTGTGGAGATTCTATTGAACTGTGACTTGATAAATTGTCTCTTGTGATTTCAATGTCCTATGAACTTTGATGAGGGATGTTTTTAGGATTCCTCCAAGAATTACGTTTTATGATAAGTTTATATGTACCCATTTCGTAAATCTAAAATTCTACAATCTCAACTTAAACTCTACATCTCAAACCTCAAATCCTATTCCTAACCCAATCTTAGGTAAATAAGGATCCTTTAATCGTTAAAATTAATCATCTACACTCTACAGATGATACTTTGTTTAGATCTACGTCCTGTAAGTTTAAACGACTTGCTCGTTCTTTTTTGGTTGCCTTTTATGAATCACCGTTATCATAGTTAAAGTTTATTAGAAAGCATATATTTCATACTTTCAATGAAGATACACATGATTCATTCCCTAAATGACATCTAGATGTACATGTAACCTCCTGGAGACTGAATACCAAGTAGACAGGTACTGAACGAGTAGTTGTTAATTACTAACAAGGATTCATTCTGATGACGAGTCCCAAATGAGATGAAACGTGAGTCCTGGATTCCACTTCTGGTCACTATTTATCTCCGTTTATAATGCTTATGATTTAAGGCAATATAGAGGCATTGCACACAGGATACACATACGCCAATAAAAGACTGATCAATTGAAGTCCTAAATATCATTGGGAAGATTCAAATAACCACTACAAAGAAGATTCATTGTGTACTACAATTCTAAGAGAAAAAGCGTTTTTTCTTCACTAAAAGTTGGATCATGGATAGTTTCATTACTAATTTGATTTATTAGAACAACTAACCTGCCTGATGTGAACAAAATTCCATTTAAACCACCAAAGCATGATAATGAAATGAATATTGACATTATCCATGAGAATTTTCCGTATAAACGATCAGCAAATGTCTTGAAAGTATTTATGTAACAAAAACCAAAAAATAAAAATGAGAAAAAGAATAGAATTATGACAACATATACTATTTGTTAATTAGTAATACAGTAGTTTTATACATCCTAATAACTCATAGTTTTATGCTAGCGTTTCCAAAATATCTTAGCTTTGATTCACTAGTGAATCGACAACTTCATCTCTGTGCTAATGTGGTATGGCAACTCGAACTGATGTACGTACGTACGAAGTTCTACGTTGTGACTGACTGACTGACTCACTAGTGAATAAAGACAGACATATACTTCATGCTTCATATATAATTGACTAACTTTATATTTCAAGAAACTTTATTCAACTTTGTATTTACATTAAAACTTTTGTTTTGAGATATTAACAAACCAATTATTGATTAAATAGTCGAATGTATGTGTTGTGATCGGGTGAGTTATTATATTCTAAATAATTACCTGTACACTCAGTTTTAGTATTCTGTTCGATATTTCAATACATGAACAATTTATACAAACAAGTGATAAGTTATATTCCTTTTTCATGTAAACTATTCTCCGAAAAGTGTTATGTAATTCATGAAACTAATATGATTCCCAATGAAACTGTTATATCGATTGAATGCGTGCCCTCTTTAATATATGAAAGCTATTAGGCTGCCAATTAGAGAGCGGTGTGTATATTGACCGCCCAATGATACACAAAATCGTATGAGCAGTCTCGAGTACTTATCAGTCCTGCTATCTGCCTAACCCAATCAGTTGAGTCCAGAACACCGATAACAGCCTCTGAAATAGAAATCATTATTCTCAAACATACTGGGTTTATATACCAAACAAACTGACCACATCGTACCATAAAATAGAAAATAACATTTGTACAAGATTTGACCTTATGTGGCTGTGAATAGGGGGAACAGTAATTAATGGACTAGGGATAACTCATGAATGGTAAATCGTATAATAATAGTTTATAGGTCAAAATAAAGCTCATCATAAGACGAACACGAGTATGAATAATTTAGTTACTTAACAATTATACAATAGGAAACATGCATATCATATTGGTCGATAAATAGTCCTCAAAGTTACCATTCATAATTCTCCAACAGAAACAATCATTATAACAACTGACCAATTAGTTAGGCAGAATTAAAATAGATTCTTAACTTCCTTTCAAGAAAAAAAGTGACAACAAATAGTTTTCTAATATCTTCACAACCTATATATCCTTATTTGAGGCATCTGAAAAAATGTATATAGGATTATGATGTGAACAGAGAAACAAGAAGCCTTAACAAACTACGGAAGCTATTTTGGGGGACGTTATTTCATTTGATTCAAGGCTTGTATAACAGTAACATTTACTTTTGCCCCTAGTCTATTCTACAGATCATAAGCTTTCGTTTGATGTATGATTCACTGCCACAGATTTTTCTGTTCCAAAGCTATTGTGATTTAGACGTAACCTTTCGTACTCTATTTTCTACTCTAATCCTCCAGTTTAGGACATAATTGTATTTTCCTAATTGTTGTACGTTGTGGTCGGATTAATCATCTATTTATTCATGTATCCTTTTACACTAATCTGAAATCGGATACCAGATCGGAATTTGGAATAAATCGAGTAATGCTCTAGTTGCCTTATCTTCTCTCTCGCGAGTGCCTGTTAGCCAATCACGTGGTAGAACAGTTTTCGTCTCTCTACCCCCACATCGAACTTATGCATAGTAGCCTCAAGGTTAAGCCAGTCAGCTTACAGCGTCAAAGTCTGAATCTACATTAGACAAGTTATCCTCAGCATGAAAATGGACAGACAGATCAAGAACGTAACAGATTATAATTTGATTAAAGTATAATCCAGTTTGATAATCACAACTTTGTAATCACTTCAGTCTTCTTATTTGAACAATGAATCTAATCGAACATAGAAAGTATACATTGTCATTCGAATTGAACCTCAGAATACAACATTTTCATTCTATCAGAACTTCTTATATATACTATTTTCAAAACATTTAAGGGGTTGATATGAAAAAGTTGAATATATAATTATCTATTAATCAGTAGAAAAAAAAGTATGAAAACAAGAAAATATTTGGATATAGTGTAGTGCCGGTATTCGTTAATCGTTTACTTCGATAACCGTTATGATTCTAATCTTAACGGCGCGTAAAATCAGAAGACAAAGGATAGCAGCAACTACAGTTTATTGTCGAATAACTCAGGTTAGAAAGTTAACAACACCTGAGCGAATATTAAAGAGCGAGCGAGCGGCAAGCGAGAGAGCGAGTGAACAGGCGAATAAGCGAAGGAAACGAACGAGGAGCAAGCGAGCGAATAGCAAGCAAATACACAGGCAATTTATAGTCAAATTTAATAAGGGCACAGTAAAACAAAACAAAAGCTGATAATAGGATTTGCGTGCACACATATATGGGGAGGAGTATGAGTCATCGAATGATACTTAAACAATCAACATTTTGGCTAGAGTGTCATGTGCTCTAGTGGTATAACAGAGCAAAGATATATGCAAATTGTTACTATCCAAATAACGATGTCTGTTAAGTAAGTTATAAAAAGGGCTTAACCAAAATTGGCTATAATCGAAATTGATTGTAGGATGGTTGCTATAATAGGATACTACTCAAAATATAAATTAATAGGAATTTAATCATTTTTAACTTGTTTTGATTAAACTCTAAATTATATCATGTGTGTGTTTATTTGTTTTCATCAGTTTTTCAAGGAGTCTGTACATAAATGTTGTCTGAAAGAAAAATAAAATACTACGAGAAGTAATTTTTAAGAATATTTACAAACCCAATAAACTATTCTAACATATTTTATATAGTTGAGATCATGAGTCAATTGAAGCTAGACCACCAGGGAAAACCTGGAAGCACTGGATGGCCGTTTCGTCCTATTATGGGACTCCTCAGCAGTGCACATCCACGATCCCGCACTCGCGAGATTCGAACCCAGGACCTGTCAGTCTCGCGCCAGAGAACTTAGCCGATGCACTCATGATCTCAACTATATAAAATTACTAAAATCTCCACAAAACCCCCTTCTGATAATGACCATATGCTCACTAGTGACTGGCTCCATGAGGTATTTCCTGGAGTTCTAGTGAGAAGCATTGACCAGTGGAGTTCAACCGGGTCTGTTGGGAGATATCAACTCACTGAAGACATTGGTGAATGGTTGCTCAATTTCGTGGATTGGTTGAAGTTAGACATTAACACCGTTGGATGATGGCCGGCTAATTGGTCTATCGGTTAAGTGCTTGCACGCGAGATTGATAAATCCTGGGTTCAAATCTCGCAAGGCGAGGTCGAGGAGTCCCACAATACGACAAAACGGCCATCCAGTGCTTCCAGGTTTTCCCTGGTGGTTTAGGTTCAATTGACTCATTCTTCCTCATTATGACTCCAGAAATTGTTATCTCAATTCAAAATTTCAAATTAATAATATAAAATATTAATATTTTATATAAAAGAATAAGATGAAACATTAACAAATGAAATAATAATATGATTACATAATATATCATACCACAGCTACTGCATTTGATTGAATAATTTCATATGGTAGAAGTACAATGAAATATGCCATATTTGTCAACACATAAACAAATGTCACTATTGTAATGCTAATATAAATAGATCGTGGTAAATTTCTAAAGAAAAGAAAAATAATAAGAATAATATATTATATTTAAATTCACTTGGTGTTGTTAAGTTGTATCTTCCTATTGTCATTTAGGACTGTAATTGATTAGTCTCTTGTTGGTCATATGTGTATCCTGTGCGAAATGCTTCGATATTGCCTGAAGTCACAAGCTTTATGAGCAAAGATGGATAGTGGCTAGCAGTGGAATCCAGCAAGCGCGTTTCATCCTGAGTGGATAACGCGATGGCATTTGAAGTGAACGGTACTGGGTTCGAGTCCCAGAATGAACATTAAATCTGAGATGCAGGTACATCTATCTGAGGAGTCCCAAATAGGACGAAACGCACGTCCTGGATTTCACTACTAGTCACTATCCATTTTTGCTTATAATGATATTTCAAGTTTATTCAAACCTTCTAAACATGATGAAACTGATAAAAAAAATTTCTTTAAAAGGATTTAGCTTTTTTTTCTTTTTTTTTTAAAGGTCATTTCAACTTCAAGTTCACTTAGTTATTCAAGAAATTGAAGAATAAATTATTCTTTAAATAAGTGATATAAAACTGATAATATAAAAATGAATTACTTTTTATAATCCTATTGAAATAAGTTTTAGTAACTTGTATCACAAATGCTGAAATTATAATTTATGGATGATGATCTGTAAGTAGAGCTAAAATGACCTTAGAATGTCCACTTACTTACTATGGTAAAATGAGGGTTATAGATTAGTGTGAGGTACTAGTGTAGTGAACAAGAAGATGAGTCGGGCAGTTGAATGTATTTAACATGGAATTACAGAATACATTACTAAAATCTGAGAACCATACAGTAAACAGTTAATTTGCAAACTATCAATCAATTGTCTCAATGTTGACTGTTCCTTCTGTAAATATCAGTCCATCGTCTCTGATTTCATTGTTTATGCATTTTCATAACAACTGAGTTTTGTTCCCGTTCTTTTCTTATCGATCTTCTACTAAAATACATTCAATTCTTAACCATTGCCATATACTACCTATGTTGATATAAGTAATCTACACTACAATAGGATTAGGATTTAAGGCTGAACGTTAAGGTTAAGAATAAGATTTAATATTTTCATCACGAACTGTCATAAGTTATAATGCTAAACGAACTTGACGCCAAAATCCAAGACATGTTATCGTTAATCCATAAATTAGTCTAACCGGTTTTATTAGTTTTTGTATAATTATAGTTTATCACACTGGTGACAAGATGAAGTTCATCTATTCTTTTTATTTTTAATTGATTTGTTAATGGTTTGTGGTAAGTCTGTTTAATGAAAACTCCATCCTATTTCCTAATCACTTACTAATAATCCCAAATCTAATCTATATGGCAATTTAAATACAAGAGAAAACATAAGAAGTATGGAAACAACTCTCTACTTCAAAGCTCAGTTTATGTACAATACAACGAGAGCATTCATAATGTTGTACTCAATCTCACACTTGGAATTTTCGAAGCATAGTAAATATAGTTTCAGTATAGATGAATATTCAATCGAAACTGTGGTAGGTGATTGTGTATTTTGTAGATGTTTCTGTGGAGATTCTATTGAACTGTGACTTGATAAATTGTTCCTTGTGATTTCAATGTACTATGAACTTTGATGAGGGATATTTTCAGGATTCCTCATACAATTCATATTATCCCATTATTGATGTTCAGAACTGACTTTTGATTAGTTTTAGTTGGTATATATTCACCTGTTAAAATTGTCTAGCTATAGCCATTATGTCACAACCTTTTATAGTAAAGATAATGAGTCCAAGATACGACGAAACGCCCTACTGGATCCCACTTCTAGCCATATTTGAGTTATTTTTCTACAGGCATTTTAGTTGATATTCAGAGTTCAACATACACTAGTTTGAAGAAAATAATATTGAGCCACTCAGCTATCTTTTTACTATTCATTTTTAAGAAGCTGTTAATTGATACGTTTCGTACTTGAACGCTTGACTCTAAATTTCTTGCTCCTTACTAATCTCCTAGACTTAAACCCCGAAAAGCATGAAGAGGAGTTTAGCATCTAAGGTTGGTTTGGGCACAGAAAACAAGGATATTTATGAGCTTATGCTTGACTTTGATATTCTGGAGGCTTCTGGAAACGTGATGAAATTAGTAACGAGATTAGTCGTTATTTAGTCAGGATATGATACGTAATTTTTCACCTTTCTAAAACTCTGTGGGAATTTTCTATGGAGCGGTAAATGGATGAAGTATTTTCAACCGCCCCTCCTAACTTCTGAAGACATTCCCAGCGGCCTCTTAACGCAGACTATGATAGTTCTCATAAATAAATGAATTAACCAAAAATGAGTCAGAAGGTTTGAAACGGATGTATTTTCCTAATTCGGGACTTCTCAACCACCCATCTGATAGACAGTTGTATCCAATTTTTTTTTTAAATCTTGAAATCAGTTCTTCTATCTTCGTATAACAGGTTAAACCTCTCAATCTTAGTCAGTGAATGATATATCCTAACGTTTTGTATGATTTTTGGTTTTTTGTCTGGTGTTAATTTGCAAAGCGAACTAACATCATGTTAGTCAGCTCCTACATCCTTGCACAAATCTTCTAATGAATAATGAATCGTTTAAAAGCTGATCAACAAGCTAAAAATCAACTAGGATTTATACTTTAGTTCAATATTACTAATTGTGTTATCTAAAAGAAGAAAGATGTTTACTAAATTCAATAAATATAGCCATACAAGGATATTACAGACAGTTGTTCAATTTATAGATGATATTTATCACAGATTAACGTTCAGTCAATCAGTCAGTCATTAGCAAGGTAGAGCGTGACGCAGATGTGAGTTGGCTTAAGTTGCAATGCAATATTTGCACAATGAGACAAAATTAGCAAGATAAGTAGCTAGCTGCTTGAGTTCATCATGATAACAACGGCCAGTGGTTAGAGACTTCGGGTAATATGACTCAGAACATTTCATAGTGACGAATATGCATTCACTCCTAATTTTCCTCTCGATCTGGAATTCCGATAATCCTTCATGGATATTTCTGCATTCTGCCTTTATGAATTATATTCGCAATGTTCAGTTTTTCTCATGATCATTACTATCACTACTGCTTCTATTTCTGCCACTATTATATGTATTATTATCACTAGTACTAGTGTGGTGTATGCTACTTATGTCTGTCGGCACAAGTAGCATGTAACACCAGTTGGAAGTGGAAAACATGGCAGCAGAAGGCCAAGAAGACCAGGTTGATGAGAACAGGAAGGAATTAAGAAATAAAAGAATCATACAGAATATGGAGAATAAATGACAGAAAGTTGCAAATGAAGTATTCAGTGAATCGTTCTTATATACTCTGTAATTCTGTATCTAGATAAATTCGTTGCCCCCACCCGTGGGTTCGTTCATTATACTAGCACTACTACTCACTATTTATAGTATACTACTTCAATATCTTTCTTAACTTTAGTTGTAGTATTATTTAAAATCAGAGATTATTTGTGATATAAAGGAATACGTTGATGACATTATTTCAGTCAAGATTTTTTGTATCAATTCATTCTGTATTATAGCCAGGGTGATAGGTGTAAACTTCGTTCAGTGTGACATTTTGAGGTCAATGTTTTTTTTCTTTTATCAATTCAGTATAAAATTAGTTCTAAATGACATGTGCAATATCTTGTTCATTGTGACAATTTTATTCCCTGTATTAATTCAAGTGAACTATATTTATTATTTATGTTTTTACAGTAACCGTATATATTCCTCATCCACCCCTCTATTTGATACTACTAAGTGTGCATAAAAATTAGTAATATAAATGATTATATTGTGCTCTAATGATGATACGGTTTGAATATGATTTTAGGACTTAGTTTGAAGACATATTTCTGAGGAGTCAATAAATGTTCATTACATCAATCTTTCTTGTTCTTACTTTGTACCGTGGAATTGTAGTGGTTTCCATTTTCCATTATAAGCAGTAGGGTCAAGAAATTGTAATGATTCCCGATTGTCAAGTAAAAGACCTGGGACTTAACAGAGTCGATACGTACATAACAGTTACGACTTCCAAATATAACAATTGGTTATCCAATTACAACAGTACCATTTATAAAAAAAAAGTGATTCCATGATATTACAATTTAACACCTGTTTCATAGATGATTTTTTAAATAGTACTGTAAACTGTGATTAATTATTTATGGCGAATATCAACCATACATCAAGGAGCAAATATTCTTTTTTTATCTTCTCAATTAAACTGCTTGTAAACTATTGAGTAGTAATAAATATTAACCCAAAATAATTCCTTTTGAATGGGTTTTTGTCGATATTGTAGTAAATTTTTCATAGTTGAATTCATGAGTCGATTAAAACTAGTCCCACGTGCGGGATCGTGGATGCGCACTGCTGAAGAGGCCCATACTAGAGCGAAATGGCCGTCCAGTACTTCCAGGTTTTCCATGACGGTCTATCTTTAATCGACTCATGAATTCAACTATTAAAAATTACTACAATAACCACAAAACCCCATTCTCATAATAATCATCATATCCTCAGTATTGAATAGCTTAAAGAGGTATTTCCTGTGGTTCTAATGAGAAGTGATGGCCAGTGGAGTTCAACCATGTCTGTTCTAGAGGTAGTTACTCATTGAAGACAATGGTGGACAGTTATGCAATAATATATCTGATTGTTACTATGATAACACATAACAGGCTAAGAATAAAAAGTGAAAATATTGAAACAACAATAACACAAACTTATTTCTCTCATAAAAAAGGAACTGTACACTTACTGTTGAGGATTTTGAAGTTCTTCAGTAATGATATTTAGAAAATTCCTAAATCACACAAAAGGAAGATGATACAGTAAATAAAATTCGTTACTCTAAAAAAAGGGACAATTTTTTCTTATAGTAGAAATCATGAGTCAATTGAAGCTAGACCACCATGGAAAACCTGGAAGCACTCGACGGCCGTTTCGTTCTATTATGGAACTCCTCAGCAGTGCGCATCCAAGATCTTTCACCCTCGAGATTAGAACCCAGGACCTACCAGTCTCGCGCCAGAGCACTTAAGCAATTTTGTAGGATTTAAGTGCTTTGTTTATTTAAAAGACAAAAGACACAACTGTCAATATGATATAATCTAGAAAATAAAAAATACAAGACAGAAGTCGGCTGCATAAAATCAACATAATAAGCTTGTTTTCTATAAGAATATTCGTTAATATTGGAACGAACAGCTTGATTGATATTAGACATCAAGTATAGAGAAGATATTACATGTGAAAATTATATTTGAAATTATTTCAGCGATTGGAATTTAAATAACTCCAATGTCTGGTCCAGCAAACTTGTCTGAACTTCTTTAGGGTAATTACTTACTTACTTAATAACTTGCGCTTGTTACCCCCAATAGAGTATAAGCCGCCGACCAGTATTCTCTAAACCATTCTGTCCTCGGTCTTTCTTTCTAGTTCTATCCAATTTCTGTTCATTCTTCTCACGTCTGTTTCCATTTCTTGGCGTAATGTGTTCTTTGGTCTTCATCTTATCCTTTAACCTTCAGGATTCCATGTGAGGGCTTGCCTTGTGACGCAGTTGGGTGATTTCCTCAATGTGTATCCTATCCACTTCCAACGCTTCTTCCTGATTTCTACCTCCGCTGGAATCTGGTTTGTTCTCTCCCAGAGTAGGTTGTTGCTGATAGTGTCTGGCCAACGGATCCGAAGTATTTTGTGTGGACAACTGTTAATAAACACTTGGCTTTCGTAGTTCTCTACGTCTCCGCCCCGTACAATAGAATTGTCTTGACGTTTGTATCGAAAATTCTGGTATTGGTGTTGGTTGATAATTGTTTTGAGTTCCAGATGTTATTCAGCTGTAAATATGCTGCTCTTGCTTTGCTGATCCGCGCCTTCACATCTGCATCTGATCCACTGTGTTCATCAATGATGCTGCCCAAATATGTAAAGGTTTCCACATCCTCCAAAGCTTCTCCGTCAAGTGAAATTCGATTGGTTCATGTTGTATTGTATCGGAGAGTCTTGCTTTTCCCTTTGTTTATATTGACAACTACTGCTGCTGAGGCTGCTGCTACACTGGTCGTTTTCTCCTGCATTTGTTGTTGCGTTTGTGATAGAAGAGCCAGATCATCCGCGAAGTCTAAATCGTCAAGCTGCATCCTGCCTGTCCACTTTATCCCGTGCTTCCCTCCATATCTTGACGTCTTCATGATCCAGTCGATCACCAGGAGAAAGTGAAAGGGTGAGAGTAAGCAACTTTGCCTGACACTGGTATTTACTTCGAACGAGTCAATGAACTGTCCTCCATACACGATTTTGCAGTTTCATCCATCATAGGAATTCCGTATGATATTAACAATCTTCTCAGGTAGGTACGCCATAGTGTCGAAGAAGCCTCCATTGTGTTGTCCTGTCTACTCTATCAAATACCTTTTCGTAGTCAATGAAGTTGATTTAGAGTGATAAATTCCATTCAACTGATTGTCCTACAATGATCTACATTGTTGCAATTTTTCAGTACACGACCGATCTTTACGGAATCCAACCCGTTGATCTCAAAATGAAATACATTTCCCTAGTAATTTTGACCTTGTATATTACCCTGAAGAAGCCTAGACAAGTTTGCTGGACAAAACATTTAGAATTATTTAAATTTCAATCGCTGTTATTATTTTAAATATAATTTTCACAAATAAGCATGTTTTCAATATAAGGAGTTTTGGAATCAAAACCAAAATAGATCTTGAGCTAAATATGATTTTGTTTTTGAGTACTTTCAAGTTTCTATTTATCTTATTATTCAATGACTGAAATGTTTTTTTATGGAAATTTTATTGATAGATAATCATGTATCTTTTGAATAAAAACATGTCTAAGATATAAAAAAAATTGGTTTATTGTCAATGATTCCCATAAAATAGGCTAATATATCAAGAGGATATGATTGAATATGACATAAGCCTGGCATAGGGATAGAGAGAGAGAAAGGGAGGGAGGGAGGGAGGGAGGGAGGAAGGAAGGAAGGAAGGAAGGAAGGAAGGAAGGAAGGAAGGAAGGAAGGAAGGAAGGAAGGAAGGAAGGAAGGAAGGAAGGAAGGAAGGAAGGAAGGAAGGAAGGAAGGAAGGAAGGAAGGAAGGAAGGAAGGAAGGAAGGAAGGAAGGAAGGAAGGAAGGAAGGAAGGAAGGAAGGAAGGAAGGAAGGAAGGAAGGAAGGAAGGAAGGAAGGAAGGAAGGAAGGAAGGAAGGAAGGAAGGAAGGAAGGAAGGAAGGAAGGAAGGAAGGAAGGAAGGAAGGAAGGAAGGAAGGAAGGAAGGAAGGAAGGAAGGAAGGAAGGAAGGAAGGAAGGAAGGGAGAGAATCCAAATGGAGGTGAGAAGAGAACATTTGACTTGTTTTATATTTTAAATTATGTTTTTATTGTTGTCATCATAGAAGAAGTTTTACTGTTTAACTTAAAAAGAATCCTCAACTCCTTCTATGTAGACTATATATGATATATAAATCAAATTTGATCGTAACTAAAAACCTTATCCAAATCTTTAATTTTATCTCCTAATTAGAATATAATGACTCCGGAAGAAACTTTTTTAGTTCTTATAAGGCTTTAAAAAGTCAGGTGCTCTATAACTATTGTCATAACTGTTGTCTTTTTCAATTTACAGATAGATTAACATTTAGAAGACTTCAATAGATTTGACAATTAACCTTTGTAATATTGTTTTTTCCCATAAACTATTCATTGACAATAACTATCTTCTGAATGGGTAGCAATGAGTCAAAATTAATCACAGTTATTTTAAGGATCACTTACGCTCTTCTTCAATCTTTATTCTTTCTAAGAATCATTAATACAAGTATATTTTTATAGTTTAAATTATGGACTGATCTTAGTCAAATTACCAGTGAAAATTGAGAAACACTGGATTGTTGTTTTGTTCCAGAATAGGACTCCTCAGTAATTCATATCCACAGGCCCATGTAAAGATTAAAACTTGGACATTTTAGTCTCACACGAGAACACTTAACCTTTAGACCTCTGTGTTGAAATCCAGTGGAATACAAGGTATGCATCATAAGATCATCCATACCCTTTACCTATTCCGGAGGATTTTTAGTAAGGTGAGTCGGTGTACTATATTTTCAAAGATTGATTTATTGGATGCATGTCTTCAATTAGCGGTATAAAGAAACTGTAGTTGTATACACGCATTGAGAGTTGTTTCTATACAATGGGCTACTTTTTGATGTAAGCGTACATAAGCAATTTTTCAGCAATTTATGTATACCATGTTAAGTGATAACTCCACTTGTAGCTCTTCTAGGACTACTGCTGGTCCCAAGCCCATGTAAAGGAGGGTTGAGAATGGGGTCAGCACCTCCACCCCATGGAAAATAACTTTGCTAAAAAACGCTAACCAGAATAAACAAATTAAGCCATGGTAAGCGATGTACCCTTTAACGTGGCACATACAGATGATATTATTGCTGTCAGTAGAAATGAAAAAGAATACTATGATCAATCACATGAAATTTTGATTACACTAGAGAGTATGGTTATTGTATTAAGAGAGAAAAATGTTCATCTTTTCATGTTAAGTAATCAATATTTGAGGACTATTATCGATTTTCATGAACTTGAACTTGACACAGAAAAGGTATACACCGTTGTAAATATGCCGACGCCATCTATTGGGAAGATGGTTAAATCACTTAAGAATAAAATGAATGGACTACCAGAAAACAAAGGAAAAATTTTTTCTGAAAATTCGTGATTTTAATGCGGGTGATTTGGTATATGTATGTGATTTCCAGCCGGGAAAGACAAAAAGATATGGTTTAATAAACAGGAGTTATGGAAATGTATTATATGAAGTGATATCTAAAAATACTCTAATTATCAGACGTTCAAATAAATTATGGGGTAGAAAATATAGTAGGGAGTCATCCCATTTTAAACGTTTTTCGACAGAGGTAATTATACGAAATATTGGGTATTCTAGTATCATTTGGTAGTGGGAAGAAATGAATTACATTTGGAAGCTAGTTGACGGCTAATGAGGAAATGAAAAATCGAGAATTTTTCTCAAATGAAATCAAGGGTGAACAGTAAGCCAGTCTTATAAACAAACTTCACTAGGGAAGTGTTGTGTAGGCGACAGTAGACAGTGTTTGGTTATTGTTTTCAGACATGCTAAAAGATAATCGGAAAGATAATTGATGTGTCATATATATTTTCTTACTCTTTGTATTGATTTATTTATTGATTAACATACGTTTTAGTTAGCTGAACGACATGTTCTTGATCTTAATTGAGCTGAAGTGTGTTAAATTATTTGCTGACTGTGTATCTAGTATAGAACGAGTCAATCGTATATGCAGTAAAATCGTCTCAGGCATACTAGCGTCTCACTAATGTTCAAGAAAAATCAAAAAACGAATAGTTATTCTCATACATTTTAAGCTATCACTCCTCTTAACAAAGCAAATGAAATAAAGAAGACATTTTAGTCCAAGAATATTCAGTTTTCGTAGAGAATATATTACCTTCAAAATGCTGATTTACAATCCATTCGCTCATATTGTTAATTATGAGCTTCAGAAGTCCAGAAATGTTCTTTTCTAAGAGCCAGGCTTACATGACGTCTCAAAGTCAAACAGTATGTCAGGAATTATGAATCATGCATGATGTCGGAAGAAGTTGATGATACATTTGAACAACAACTCCTACATATCCTTTTCTGAGTCAGCAGAAAAAATCTATTTACTTATACCTATGATTTGAGTATATGACAATTAAACCTTCCTACCCATTTCAATCTTATGATGCGCATAATAAATTTGATCACTTATGGGAAATTTATATCGTAGCTGAATGAGACTGTAGAATTTAACAGTTGACCTCAGTGAATCCAGTACAATATACTTTGTGATTACTATATACTGATACTATCCAACGATATTTATCACATTATAAACATGGAATGTCAACTCCACCCACGTCACCTACATATGAATACACATAACTTATTGAAAACCTTTCTCTACCACCTCCTACTTTTGATTATCAGATTGTCTTAATCTCATGCTTGTGTTATTTATGATTGTTGTCGATTGCTTCTATAATTCTAATATAAGTGCATTCTATGTGCTTACTGAGTCATCGGCTCACTTTTTCTCTTATTCTTTTCTCTTCCATATTCTCTGTCTGACTGATGCTGTCCCTCACACTCCCCTCGCAAACAATGTAACTTCAGGCCAGAGGAAAACCTACAACGTCTGGACGTAATATATATTCATATAGATATTATGCGAAAAAAACTTTAATTTCCCAATGACTTCCCTAATTATTATACTATTTTCACAAGAAATTTCAATACACTTACCAGCCAGCATATGCAAATAAACCAGAATAAAAAGCTAGAGCTAAACGTGATGGATTCATTGGTCTAGTAGGTTGCCAAAATTCTTCGAAATTTTCTAGCCTACCTATAGAATGTAAACAACACATGCATACATAGATATATACACATATCTAGACAAACAATATTGTGGATTGGTTGAGATTAGACATTAACACCGTTAGATACCAGCTCAGTGGTCCAAAGATTAAGTGTTTGCGCACGAAATCGAGAGGTTTTGGTTCGAGTCCCAAATGCAGGATCGTGGATATGCACTACTGAGGAGTCCCACCCTAGGACTAAACGGTCGTCCAGTTCTTCCAGGTTTTCAATGATGTTCTAACATTGATCAACTCATGACCTCAGTCAAAAATGTAAACGTTTATTTATTCGATTTGTTTAAATGACTTTTAAAAGACTATTAGAAGAAAATTGAGCAATTTTTAAAAAGTATGGATTGTCAACATCGTTTGACTGCTCACAATGCTAACGCATAATGAATTATTTGGTTCTTTTATTTTAAAAGTTAGTTGTAATGCAAAAGTTTTAATGCTAAAAGTAATAATTTACACATGAGCCAATCAAATTAGAGATGGTGACTGTTGGATTTGGCATGAAATTTTAAATACAAGGACGAAATCTTACAGTAAGGATAACCATTCCTTTTTCAATACTCAAGAAAAGTTTAATGTCTGGTATTTTTAGGGCATTTTCCCGTCTATTGAATGGTCAGTACTGAAAATAAGAGTATAAGGTTCACTGGGGATTTCGTTTTAATTATATCGAGCTATCGATACATTTCTTCTGTGGAAACACCATTGTAGTGCATCTAAACTTTTCGGATGAAAACAGAAGATAAATGGTAACTCAGAGCTTGAAATGAAGTCATCAGTGAAAATTATGCTCTTATATGTAGTATTCACTTATTGAATGAATGGAAAAATGCTTGAATATTAGACCCTCGTTGAACATTGGAATCGGATGTGCTAAACATTCATTCCAAAAGCTTGTATTCCATTTAGGACTAAGTAGGAAACAAGTAAACTTGATCAAAATTTAGTTACTAATATGCTTAAACTTGATAAACATGAAACGACTAAGGGATAAGAACGAAATAAATTAACTCATGAAATAAAAATGAGAAAGTGATTACTGTTTCTAAGGGACTTGACCGTTTTAATTTATCTTGAAGAAACTTCTCTTTCTCAACCGTATATTTCGGATGAAAAGTAACACAGCTTTTCTGAAATGTTTTAGATAACAATCTCGCTAGTACTCAATAGTATTATCACTCCGTTACAAAATATTAAAAAAGTTTTAACTTTGATTCAACTACTCTCCAATTATCACTATAAGGTTGTGGAGATTGATGAGTTTTTTAATTGAGGTCATGAACTGATCAATATTAGACCACCACTGGAAACCTAGGAGCACTAAACAGCCGTTTCGTCCCAGTGTGGGACTGCTCAGCAGTGCGCATTCACGATTCCACACATTGACTCGAACCGAGGACCTTTGATCTCGCGCGCGGATGCCTGAAATAATTCTATCTTCAAAAATGGTGTGATAAATGGGAGTATTTGAATTATAGTACAAACTAGGAATCCCACAAATGAATCACTCAAACCAAGAAGAACTATATCAGCACGAACAAACGTAGTTTATTTGGACTTCGAAATCAAGCGGTCACCAAGTACAAAGGAATCATTATTTCATACAAACACCACAAACAGACATGACAGTCAGTATTGTAAAGCTTAACTGGAGAAAAGACTTGGATAAAGAGCAACTACTAACAATGAGAAGCCTTGATTATCTCAAATGAATTTTATGGACTGAAAATGTAATGAGTAGTACAGTAGGTCGAAAGCAACGATAAAATTTGCTAATTCTGATTCCGAACTTAAAATATGTAAGATTTTTTTAAATATCAAGATATAGTAGTATGTTGGAACGACTTAACAATACGAACTCATAATCTCCACACGATGGAATTCATAACTTTCTTGTTCTAATGGACAATCACCTTACCTTTAAATCGCTGAGTCAATATAAAAACTATCATGTTCTTCAATTCACTTAGTATTGCTTGTTTGAATCTTCCCATCGATGTGTTAGGACTGCAACTGGTCAGTCTCTAATTGGCATATGTGCATACTGTGCGTATTACCTCGATATAGCCTTGATTCACAAGCATAATAAGCAAAGATGAATAGTGGCTAGCAGTGGAATACAGAACGCGCGTTTCGTCCTATTTGGGACTCATCAGCTGGATGTACCTGCATCTCAGCGTTGACGTTCACTCTGGGACTCGAACCCAGTATCCTCGCTTCAAATGCCATCGTGTTATCCACTCGACCACCGAGTGACGAGTCCCAAATAGGACGAAATGCGCGTTCTGGAGTCCACTGCTAGTCACTATCTATCTTTGCTTATCATGTTCTTCTATTTAAAAATATCCAAGTAATTTATTTACAGTTAATGTGAGAGGCATATGATGATTTCTGAATTGTATGATTTACATTAAAAAATGATCTTAGTTAGGCAACTATCGAACTATGAACTGCTAGACCTAGAAGTCCTGAGTTTAATCGCTGACTCCGCTAAGGATAAGCACCGTCACTAAAGAGTCCCATAATAGAACAAAACAGCCATCAATGGTAGTTTAACTAAAACTTAGTTTATGATGTAAACAATAGAATTTATCTACATGTTAGTACATTTTATTAAACAACTTTTAATGATCTAATCCAAAACTCACTTTGACATAGAACATATAAACCAGATAGAATAATAATAGTCAATGCTAATAATTTAGCTGCTGTAAATAAATTTTGAATTCTTGTAGCCCAACGAACTTTCATAATATTTATCCATGTCAAGAATGCTGAAATTTAAAAACAAGTTAAGTTAACAAATACTGTAGAAAAACAAAATGAAGTAAGATGTTGATTAGTGACTTTTAAAATAATAATTTCTGATAATTACAGTTGAATCATCACCTACCTTGATTCATAATGTGTATTGGTATAGAAAGAAAACTGGATGACATATTAGTCGTCCATGAAGTCATTGACTATTGATTAGAGCTAATGTTAGTAGATGCAGACTACTTGGTTGGGGTCCACGTGATAACTCTGATTAATGTTTTGTGTAGATGTTGGATGATATTGGTTATAATTGATAACATACATGTAATCTTTATCGTTCTCTAGATCTTAGAACTAAGCATCCCTTCATTCTGTCTTTCCGAACCCATTCTGAATATTAAGTCTCTCTTATTTCAATTCCTGTGCTATTTATCCTTTTAACTCCATCTTATCGTGCTAATATGACAATCACAACTTGACCTGACAAATATCTATCCCAGTCTTTACATTGATTATGATTGATTAACTGGATATAACACAAAATAAATTGTTGTTAGAACTACATGGATCAGATTTTAGTCAAGAAACCTTCATGTTGTTTATTTTCTTTACATCTTTGAACAATAACGAAGTGATCTTAGCTAGACCACCATTGAATACTTGATTAGTAGTCATGGGGTTTTGCCGTTTGCGCGTAAACCAAACGTCCCAGGTTTAATTCCCGGATGTGGGGTTGCGGATGAGCACCACTGAAGAACACCAAACTAGGATGACAACATCATCCAGTACTTCCAACTTTTCAATGATATTTTAATCATACAACTCCACAAATTTTCCCGTACTAAAAAATATAAAATTTCATCATAACAAAATAGAATTTCTTTCTCTGCAAAATATTGTTTACTAATGTTACACGATAGCAAGATGTTACAATAAACGAATAATTGACAATAAAAGGTGGATAATGATCGTGACTGGACACGTAACTTTCAGTACAAAGTTCAGATATGAGTTGGTAACTGGTGAAAGTCACTGCCATTCATAAGTTCCCGATCCATCTTCATTTTTGTCAGTTTCGTATAATATTTTAAAAAATTTCAAAGGATACTTCTTGTAAGGCTACTGTTGACTAAAGCTGGTGAATACTTCAAAATTCATCTGTTAATTAATTTATTTTTGTTTATTCGATAGATAGGCAGGATACTGTCATTTGATGCGCTTCGAATGAGAACGCCTTGTACGACTGATACAACCTGGTACATGAGAAGATGCAAACTGGTAGAAACACAATGACGTGTCTTAGAATGGTAGTTTACTCTTGATACATCTCAAACTCAACTAAACGGATCTTTCTTAGAGAATTCAAAGCCCAGTTTCAGTGTCTCTACAGAACTATCTCCTTCAAACTCAATAATTGTACATATCTTTTTCAGTGTTGTGGGGATTCATTTATTTCGTTATTTGATTCCAGGAACCCCTCAAATATTTCTTGAATTTTAACCAATTTATTACGAATCTTGTCCTCAGTGGATGCTTGTCTAACTATTGAGGGTAAAAACTGTTAACTTTATTGTAACTAGAAGTCAAAACGAATATTACAATCTTTCTGGTCTAAAGGTCCTGTATTCTAAATCCCAGTGAAGTTGTAGATACACACAACTGAAGAGTCCCAAACTAACATCTAATCCCTCACTGGTTTAAATGTTCCGACTTTCGTTCAGCTGTAAAATAATTCATAGCAAATGTATTCAAGCATATTCTTAGCAATATATATTAATTTTAACTTACTTATAGATAAAATTGAAAAACTAATAATAAGCAGATATGGTGGATCACAATTTGAATAAATTGGATAAAGAGCATAATATGCAAAACTGAAAGCGCAAATTGCAGTAGATGTTGGTCGAATTACTACAAGATTCACCTGTTCAATAAACAGATATATATATATATATATATATATATATATATATATATATATATATATATATATATATATAACATTTGGCAAGACTATAATTTATGGACGAACCAATCAGATTTAAGATAGCAGGTATTGAATTTTGGAGCAAAATTCATTCATCCATATGGTTAAACAGCATTTTGGCATTATAACTGTTGACAGTTCGTGATAAAAACCCTAAATCTAACTCCCTAGTCCTAATGTCTAGCTGTTATTCCTATTCCTGATTTCTTACACTAATATATAGTCCTCATCTAACTCCCGTAAGTATGTACAATTCTCAAGTTTACTGTAACATTGCTTAAAGCCCATCTTTAAATTATAGTCTCACCAAAGAAGTATCATTTAGAGTCAAGTTTTATACTTGCCAATGGTGTGTATATTTACAACCATATTTAATAGAACTAACAATCTCTCTTCAATGTAAGTACAGTTTTGTCATCGAATTAGAATCTAACAGTCAATATGAGATCTGAAATTAAACCTATTACTTTAGAATTAAGTATTCTTTCGTTCTATAAGCTGCCCCCAAATGCCCTGGTAAGGCTGAGAGTGGGGAGAGTACTCTCTCCTTATCGAAATACTGTCACATGGTGTTAGTGGGATATAGATTGGATTAAAGCATGTTTTATGCATGATGGTGTTGCTGCGCGCTGATTGGCTAATTCTAAACCGATCAGCCCGGGCATATTATTGCAGAAAAATCTATAAGCTTCTTATGTATTTACTATAAATATATAAACATTATTTAAACTATTGATTGCTGTTCACTTATCATTATTATTTTGAATACAATTTCATTCCTGTTCAACGTGTTCTGATTTTGGGGTCTTGTCGAGTGTCATTGTATAAGAATACTAAGCAATAGGAATAGCTGGGTCGTTTATATAGCAAAAATACAATTATAACACATGGCCACGCGTATATAGCCTCTGCTAGGGAAATCCTACTCACTGCCTCCTCGCAACACGGGTGTTGTTTACGAAATTGAGAGGACGAAAAGCGAATGTCCAGCGCTTTAACCGGCTTGGTGAACACCTAGGGGAGTTGGAAAACCCTGATTACAAACCAATGGTGCACATGGGCTCCAGTATACTGAGGGAACAAATGGAGTATGAATCAACCGTTGGTCACCGTCTACCATGGGACTGCATCTCCTCACGAAGCTCCACTGGTTTGTGGATCAGACCATTAAGTCAAAGGCTCTGGGTGTGGCCCCCTATGAAAACCACTACTTCAGTTTGGGCACTTGAGCAGCATCCCAGCCCTTACACAAATCAAATGAGATTTGTGTGGTGCATATATATCTGGTGCCCCTTTGTACTAATATTTATATGTTTAAATAAATAAATAAATTATCAATTCATAATGATGATATCCCACGGTCTATACTCATAAATTCAAACTTAATCCTCATATATTGTCATTTGATAAGTGTTATAACGTGAGATTTACTAAATCACGAGAACTCAGAGACTAAAAATATGACCATTTAATCAAGATTCAAATAACAATAATTACGATGTAGATTGATACAAAGTATATATAATCCATGCAGATGAGGAACCAGTTTACCATATTTGTAAGACGGGATAAAAAAAACATTGATATTCTTCGCATCAATCCAGCGTGAATTACTTTCGGAATGGGTTTTTGCAGTAACGCTGCCTAGTTTTCTTATATGTGATAATATTATTAAATATTCCTCAAGTGTGTTGATATGTGTGTAGGGTCAGTGAAATGTCACTAAAATCTAGCCAAATCATCCTACAGTCGGTTCACAGAATGTGGAACAGTTCACCCATCCTCATTAAGGTCTGGGACAACCAACGCGCATCAGTTAATTGCACACCATGAACTGGCCCATGAGGCGGCGGTCGGACTCTGTTCCTTGTACCTACTCTTACTAGCATTTATTTCTGTAATAACGTCGATTGTGTTTTACGGTCATCAAAGCATCCATAGTACTTTGATACGACGAAGGGGGTAGTCCACTTTAGGTGCTGACCGCGAGGTGTGACTTCGAAATTAGCTGTTGGTCACACCATTCCCGTCTAACTCGAGTAGGCCCCCATTCATTCGACATAGATCATGTATGTTAGGGAGGTAAATGTGTATCCGTGTGAAAATAATCTTTATAAATCAGTGTACTTTTTGATCAAGATGACATGTTTAAAAAGGTTAATAAGATTTTCATTTACACTTGTTCGCGAGTTCATATTTTACATCGTAAAAGTTTTGATGGGATCCTTGTTTCAAGTATTAATATTAAGACAGCAGTTACACAAGGAATAAAATAGTCTATTATATATATGACGTATAAGAGTAGGTCAGTCTACTCTGAACAACTAATTACAGATTACTTTGACTGGAGATATCAGTAATTTACTATCTTACTCCCAACTTAATTGAATCGACATGGTCATGACTTCTTATTACTTCTCTATATTGAAGCTTGTCACCAATAGTCGTATGTGAGTTTTCGGATATATTTTGCAAGATATTATAAATCATACTACTGAAGTTATTTTGATCTGAATGTCAATGAACAGTTAAATCAGTCCATTTCAATTATTTCATTAAGACATGATGTGCTACAATAATCACTGTTCATTAAACAATATAATAATTGGTTATTATTGTAGGCAATGCGTTACATCAGTAATTGGTTATATAAAAACATAAAGCTTTTAGGAACTAATAAGAATATTTGATTATTTCACTGTTCATCTAGAACTGATCTAGAGTGATAAAGTTATATGTAAGTAGAGTAGTTCAGTCGTGTTGAGTGTGAAGCAGTTACTCGCTGAAGACAATGGTATATGGTTGTACAATATCGTGAATGTATTGAAGCTGGACGTGCAAACTATTGAGTAACAAACAACTAAGCGGTCTAAAAGTTAGGCGCTCTTCACGAAATTTGAAGGTCCTAGCCCCAATTTCCGATGAGGTTGTGGATTCATACTGATGACGAAACCCATACTAGAATAAAATAACTGTTCATTACGTGTTGATTTTTAATATTATCTAGCTTAGGTTGCTTCATATTTTTGTCCACATATTTTATGTACAGATATTTCTGCTTTGGTGAACTCTTCAATTTTAGAGACATACCTAAATATTTTAATGAGCTACTATCACTTTAATTTTGATCTTTAAATTCATTCAGTTAGACTAATCAACCTTTTTCGTATGATTAAAGTCAATCTTGACTGTTTGATATAGTGTAGCTTAGCTCAAAATTGTCGATGATATATTAGAAAGTTAGAGTATAAAATGAAATCCTTAGTGAAAACTGTACACCCTAACAGGCAATAATCACCTAATAAGTGAACAGAAAACTATCCCAAAATAGTTGAGTTCAACATACTGAACATTGAAAACATTGCATGATAACCTCAGTTAACCATTACTTAACATTTTTATTCCTATTTCAAATAATTCATAAACTACGTTTGACATTTTAACATTTGCCAAGGTTAGATAATTTGACGTCATCACACAATTGTGATATCATCCAAATCTCCATTGAAAATATAAACAGACAAGTTTATAATAATAATAACAATTCGTTTTAAATATCAATAAACTGTTCAACATGTTTATACGGCTCTAAAACAACTGACAGTCTTGAAATATAATAAGTTCTCCCACTGAAGTCATCATACATACATCCTTATATTAACATATTGCTGAGTACTTGTGACCGTTACCCAGTGTCAGGTGACAAGTTAATAACCCTGATATATAACTTGGTCTGTTTCGAGTCCACTATTTACTCTATGGCTTAGTATCTTTGATTTGGCGAATTACATGACCGACCAGAACTAATAACCTTAAGTCAACAGCTAAATTCACGTTAGTCCACCACTTGCTAGCTTTTCTAACTGCCCTACCCTTGAATTCAATAATCAGCAACCAGCCTCTACTATATTTATATTTCAAATAGACCTAGTTTATAAACAGGTAGATCAGACCGGACACACTATAAAATGAAAAATTACACTTATACATTAATAAGTCCAAAGTGATTGTGAATAGGGGAGAGTGTGAGTAACAGACCGGTCACAAATTATGAATAGTAAGTTGCTTAATAGCAGTTTATGGGTTAACCGGAAGCTTATGGTAAACGGAGTATATGGATAAAGTAATCTAATTATTTAATAGTAGTATCATAAGAATACATTTAATGATAATAATCTGTTAACAATCCTTCAATCTTCGTTCTGATATATCAAATAATTCAGCGTTCCTATAGTTCAACAAAGTATATGTATAGTCTTACCCATAATTGTAGAAATGCCGGTAAATTACCAAATGCTTTTTTAATGTAGACATAATCACCACCGCCATCAGTTATCGTAGTACCAAGTTCAGCATAACATAATGAACCCAATAATGAGATGATACCACATAATATCCATATTATAATAGAAATACCAGGACTTTGTTCACTATTTTCTAATACACCTTTTGGTGTAACAAATACACCAGATCCAATGATTGTGCCAATAGTAATAGAAACAGCACTCCATAAGCCCACTTCACGTTTTAATTCTATTTTATTATTGAGACTAGGATTGACAACTCCGTGACTTGATTTACTGAATGACAAAATGTACACCAAGTAAGAAAGCCAATATGAAATAAGAATAATAACAGAAAGACTTTTTTGAATTAAATCTGGATGATGGTTAAAAGTGAGATCCGTAATGAGCATTTCATCCTACCTAGAACTTATCGGTTACTAGCCTCCATTCAAAAACTTGTAACTAGATGACAATAAAGAGGCTGAAATCATGAGTCAATTGAAGCTAAACCACCATCGAAAACCTGGAAGCCGGCTCAGTGGTCTATCGGTTAAGTGCTCTGGCGCGAGACTGGTAAGTCCTGGGTTCGAACCTCGTGAGGTGGGATCGTGGATGAGCACTGCTGAGGAGTCCTATAATAGGACGAAACGGGAGTCGAGTGCTTCCATGTTTTCCATGGTGGCCTAGCTTCAATTGACTCATGATATCAACTATGAAAATACTGAAATCTCCACAAAAACTGAATAAAGAGCCTGTTCCCTCAAGCTGTGCATATGTCAGTAAATACCGATCACTTTTAATTTCAAACATCAACAACCCAAAAACTCAGACTATTTCAAATAGAAATTTTTATTTCTTTTTCAAAAAAAAAAAAAATATATATATATATATATATATAAATATCTTAATCCTGTTCATTGACGCGTTGACTCGCTAACTCATGTACTCGCGTACTCGCTTACTTGATCACTCGATCACTCGATCTTTCGGTATCTCATTCGACTCGCGAGCTCACTCGCTTGCTTTACGGCACTACTCCTTCATGCTTGCTTAGCGTGCCTGTAATTTTGGATATTTGTGTGTGGTCCAATAATAAACGCAATCAACACTTCATATTCGCCTTCTAACTTATACACTGTTGGGACGTTATCGAGTAACGGTTATCAAGACGAAGCTTCAGGATAATATCGAATATCGACCATCACAACTTCATCAAGAATTTTAAATAGAACCTTAGTTATCTTAAAAAATTTCTTATTATATACTTTTTTTCATTTGTCTCTTTGAAGCATATGTTCAATGAAAGTTAACTAATGAACATTTACAACAAGCTCCAGGTTGATTATGACGGAGTAACCGGTTGACTGAAACTATACTTCATATTATATAAAAGTTTTTATTATTATTATTATTATTATTATTGTATTCCATTGCTAGCCACTATCCATCTCCGCTTAGAATGCTTGTGAATTAAGGCTATATCGTGACAATTAACACAGTATGCAAATATGCCAATAAGAGATTGATCAATTGCAGTCCTAAACATCAATGGGAAGATTCAAGTAAACAATACCAAGAGTATTATTGTTATTATGATCAATCTATTCTAAAAATCAATAATCCCTGTAACGATTGATTTTGTACATAAAATTATTTGATCACGTAAATCAAATATAGACAATGAATCATATTACAATAGAAAGTAGTTATATTCCATTCAATGTACAAGATTTAAAATCAGTTGTTTGAATACATAGCAATTAGATTTCAAGTGGAAGTACTTTCTAAATTGTTAAATTTGACTAGGTGATCTGATTTGTTAGTAGTAAAAAGTTAGATTGTTTGCTATTCAATAGGTTGATCATAAGTGTACCAAGTGAATATGTTTAATAAGGCTTAGAATGTATAACTATTTTGTTCGATCTTTTACAGATGAAGAAATGATTCATTCTGAAAAAGACGTCAATTTTGGATAGAAGATAGAATTATCTTATAATGCACAGGAAAAATTCTAAGCGATAACATTTGATCTCATGGCCAAAATCCAGGTGAGAAACAAATATGAGAGGACTGTTATAACCATTCATTCAACCGAAGTCACCATCTACTTACTTCTATAACTCTGAGAACCTATATGGTCTGAGGAGATTATCTCTCTAATTTTCATAATAAAGCTTCTCACACAATATTGCTCTTCTTTTGCCGCATACCTGGTTTGTCAATGGTAAGGGATTTGATAGTAACTGATTGGAACAACACAGTATAATATATAATTCTAGTCAGAAGGGGATTTGTGGAGATTTCAGTATATTTCAAAGTTGAAATCATAAGTCAATTGAAGCTAGACCACCATCGAAAACCTGGAAGCACTGGACGGCCGTTTCGTCCTATTATGGGACTCCTCAGCAGTGCGCACCCACGATCCCGCACTCGCGAGATTCGAACCCAGGACCTACCAGTTACGAGCCAGAGCCCTTAACCGATAGACGAAAAGGTCGTCCAGTGCTTCCAGGTTTTCGATGGTGGTCTAGCTTCAATTGACTCATGATTTCAACTTTGAAATATAATTCTAGGTCGAAACAGACACATCCTAATACTGAATCCTGATTGTTACACTAAAAACCATACCATGTATAGAGTAGAATTTATCCAATTAATTTTTTAATCTGGTATCATTAACACAAATATGACATGATTTCCTCGTTCATTGAAGCTTAGAAAATATGACACTAAGTGCTGGCTATAAAAATTACTACAATAATAGTCGATGCTTTCTTTCTTTCTTTCTAATTAACAATCCCCGAATACAATTGAAAGACTATCGTTAAAGTTGTCTAGTTTAGAAATCTTATGAATCATAATGAAATGGATCTAGGATATATTCAAATAATCAATCAGTACTACTTATACAGTAGTAAGTTTACACATGAAAAGAAAACTCATGGTCGAAAGTAAATATTGAAATCATTATCATCGTCATTTAAATTATTTGATAAATTTTATAGGGAAAAGAGGTCATTATGTAGTGGATGTACAATGCTTCGTATACATAAAATGACAAAAGAATGATTTTACTCCCATTTTCATCTTGATACTTTCAAACTATACAAATGATAAAATAATCTTGGTTAATAAATGACCATATAACATCATATATGTCAAACTGTTTTTAACACTGTAAGCAAAGATGGATAATGGCTAGCAGTGGAATCCAGGACACACGTTTCGTCCTATTTGGGAGTCGTCAGCTGGCTGTACCTTCATTTCAGAGTTGATGTTCACTCTGAGACTCCTGATAGCCACTTGCTTGTGAAACGCGGTGAAGTTTAAATCCACTTAGTATTGTTTGTTTGAATCTCCTTATTGATGTTTGGGACTGCGACTGGTCAGTCTCTAATTGGCATATGTGCGTACTGTTCGTATTGCCTCGATATAGCCTTAATTCACAAGCATTGTAAGCAGAGATGGGTAGTGGGTAGCAGTGGAATCCAGGATGCGCGTTTTGTCTTATTTGGGACTCGTCAGCTGGATGTGCCTGCATCTCAGATTTGATGTACACTCTAGGACTCGAACCCAGTACCTTTCGCTTCGATACTCAGGTATTCTACACGTTTTCATTTAAAGAAGTGAAACCACATGGAAAGCTCAATATGTACCATTTTTGGGGGGTGAGTATGTCATTTTGATTTTAATTTACTGGATTATGATTTATTGAGTCAGATTTGAATCATTATTGAGGATTACAGTAATGTATTAGTTGCTACTCAAAGACTCGGTAACATTTAGTGTATTTCTACTTGAAGAATTTGATGTAATTATTTATTTATCTAGATATAATATCCAAGGTTAAATTGCATTGATACATATGTTTAAAAACTAAATGGGTATTAAAATCTTGTTAAAAGTATATACCATATTCATAAACTTGAGCAGCTTATTGACCACTCAGAAAAAACGCTATCCAGTTATAAAACAATGACAAGTTACAAAATACTACTGAAATAAAAGTATTGGTCTGAATTATCACATTCCTTGTTACAATGAAAAAAGGTTAAATTTATATATTAGGAACAAGGTTTATGTTATTGATGTGAACAGCGAAACAAGAAGCTTTAACAAACTACGGAAGTTATTTTTGGGGACATTATCTCATTTAATTCAAAGCTTGTATAATAGTAACATTTACTTTTGCCCCTAGTCTATTCTACAGATCATAAGCTTTCGTTTGATGTATGATTCACTGCCATAGATTTTTCTGTTCCAAAACTATTGTAATTTAGACGTAATCTTTTGTACTATATTTTCTACTATAATCCCCCAGTTTAGGACATAATTATATTTCCCTAATTATTGTACGTTGTGGTCGGATTAATCATCTATTTATTTATGTATCCTTTTACACTAATCTGAAATCGGATACCAGATCGGAATTTGGAATAAATCGAGTAATGTTCCAGTTGCCTTATCTTCTTTCTCGCGAGTGCCTGTTAGCCAATCACGTGGTAGAACAGTTTTCGTCTCTATACCTCCACACCGAACTTATGCATAGTAGCCTCAAGGTTAAGCCAGTTAGTCAAAGTCTTGATCTACATTAGACAAGTTATCCTTGGCACGAAAGTGGGTAAACAGATCAAGGACGTAACAGTTATGATTTATAATGATCACTTTACATAGTTTTCGTTTCCAACTAACATTCTTTATACTGCAAAAAAACCGTTTAAGGTTCAGTATTAAGAGTTAGGCTGGTCTTTTTAATTAGTTTCATAAATTAGGATTAGAGCTTTCATCATAAACTGATATCAGTTGTGATGCAATGAATTCTTACTCTTCTGTATATAAATGTAAGGAATTTAGGGTTCAGATTTTTTAAACTAAACATTCTTGCCTACTCATTGAATCACATCAATTACTTTCAAATATATTCTATCTTAGGAGCAGTTGTGTTTTGTAATTTAGCTTAAACACAGAAAAAATCACTTTTTCGTTACATAATAGATGTTCTAATTGATTTCCAACATTTTAAGAACTAATTATTGTCAACTTTCACTTTATATCAGAACGGGTTTTTGTGGAGATTTAATATTTCCATAGTTGAAATCGAAAAGGCCGTCCAGTGCTTCCAGGTTTTCCATGGTGGTCTAGCTTCAATTGACTCACTCTTTCAACTTCCACTTTGTTAATAATAACATAAAAAGTTATCTATCAATACACTTGGTCAAATATTTACGTCTTCATCAGACTGAATTCGAACATAATATGATAATTTTCATATGACTAATTTAAATCACCTAATCATCTTAACATAACAATATGACTTTGTCTTAGTATCTGTCCTATCAGAAATGAATATCTTAGTAATATTATCATATGAATCATCAATGGTTAAGATAAATAAAAGTAAACTTACCGTTTCTTCATTTGTCCTCGTCAAACTTTATCCACAAATTGTATTATCTTTTCTGCATAAATATATATATATATATATATATATATATATATATGCATGTGGAGAACAAGTAGGCAACAGGCTTCTAGATCTTTCGGCCTTACCGTATGAAAAAACATGCTAGACGAATAAAAACAAGTGATTCGTCATGTAGAAAACATTCATTAAATGTCTGTCTTACAGTTTGTCTTATTCCTGTTTGTTTTTTTTAGTCACTTTAATCTGATTGGTTGAAACATTCTATGTAGTAATCAACTCATTATCCTAAATTAATTCGTGTTTAAGATTTTAGCTACTTGTTAGTAGTTAGATTAAATTAAACAAAAGTTTCCCGATATCAAGATAAGTTGGAAAAAAAATTTAGGATAGAGAAATTTATTTCGAATCATTGAGACAATTAACAATCGATATCACCTATTTAAAGTAATGCATCAAGTAAGTGAATAAATGTCTCGTCTTTATGTAGGAAACCTCAACAATTTACATCTATACCCTCGTTAAAGATCAAATCCAGGATCTTCAAGTTTCTTGTAAAATGTTTGACTTCTCGACTATTGAACCTGCAACAAATAGTTCAAATTTCTAAACTAAATAAGTTTTGGTATATTATAGAAATGACTTCTAGATTCAATAGTGAACAACTGACTCACACCGAACATAGATGAACTCCACGGATCATCTAATTCATCATAACATAACTTGTAGATTCTGTTCGACATACATGAACTAGTTATTGTTAAACTCAACACTTGATTTTGATATCATAAGAAATATGATTAGAATTTGACTTATCTGAAGCATATTTCTTTACATTTATTAAACTTTTCAAAGGACGAAATTGAATTATTAAAATGATAGTAATCTAATGTAAGAACGTTTACTCATTGTTCAGAGTTTCCACCATTGGGAATATTTTTCTTCAAAATACTATTAATTTCCAATTACATTTACACTAACCATTTCCAAATGCCGATTTTGACTGATAATAAGATATGCAACAACAATGTATGATGATTGTGTAGATCAATTTTAATTCCAGCATCGTTAATTTGATAAAGATAAAAAGGATTTATTATTATAAAGGATTTGATAATCCTGTATGAAATACAAAGGCACTAGATTAGGCTGGAGACCTGATCGATGAATGGAATAATCGATTGGATAACATGACTGGGCACACTAGACCACACTGACAACCAATATCAAAGTCAAAATCTTCAATACGAACGTCAAACCAGTTCTAATGTACGGAGCTGAAACGTGGAGAACTACTACAACCATTATCAAGAAGGTATTAGTATTTATAGACAGTTGTCTATGCAAAATACTAAACATTCACTAGCTGTATACCATCAGCGACGGCCTTCTGTGGGAAGGGAAGCAGAAAAGAGGAAGGCCAAAGAACACATTACGTCGGGAAATGGAAGCAGATATGAAAAGGATGAATAGTAACTGGTAAGCATTATCAAGGACATGATTGGATGGAGAATGCTGGTGGACGACCTATGCTACGCAACAAGGAGTAGCAGGTGTCAGTAAGTAAGCACACTAGACTACGAAACTGAATATAAGTTAATCAGATCACTAACCTAAATTACGTTATTCACAAAGATACATTTCTGACCAACAACTGATAAGCAGGCTAAAGAGCTAGAACAATTTACTGACTCAAAGTACAATCACTCTACATGTATTAAACTTAGATTAGAAATTTCAAACGAATCTTTTAAATGTAAAAGAAATACTGATTTATATTGCTCAGTAACCAATCATGGGTTATCATGTAACAATTATCGCTATTTTTTAACTATAACAACCAGGTCTTTTTGTGATGCAAAGGCTCATTCGTGTGTATACATTTTAAATTACAGATCAATTTCTTTTCGCTTCAACTACACGTGTGCACGTGTGCTTAGTGTGTTTGTAGAATACATTTTCTACGCCTCATCAAGACTTCTTGATCTAATTAGCAGGGCTTTGGACAACGAATTAAAATTAGCCTATCGTGTCCCTGTGTCCTTCGTTTATCATAATCAACGCTTTACTCGTTGAACAATAAAACAGTCAATCAGTCAGTCACAACGTAGAACTTCGTACGTACGTTCATCAGTTCGAGTTGCCATACCACATTAACACAGAGATGCAGTTGTCGATTCAAATCCCATAATAGTAGAAGTAGTAAGAGTATAAGCATTAATGTGAAAGATTAGTGTTTGAAGATGTTATTCAAGGAGTATGATCCAACGAAATAAATTTGGAAAGAGAAAAAAAGATAAAGACATGAAGAATTAAGAAGATTAAAATTCGGCAAAACACAAAGAGTGTATGCAACTTCACCATTGCAAACGATTTTGAGCCATGTCATTCAAGATCTCTAACCATCAATCGTTATCATCTCGCGGAACTCAACCAGGTAGTCTACACCTACCAACATGTCTTAATCCACTTGTCAGTGACTTCATGTATTTGTACCACGTTTTAGTCTGGCCACCCCCTAACTTTCTTCCAACCTACTCCTACACCATAAAGCAACAAAACAAGACAAATATTTTTTTGCAATTTCATTTATTCTGTTTGAGCATGGAGAAAAATATGTATGTTTATTTGGATCGAACTAAAACATCAGTAGAAAATATTAAACACAAAACAAAATGAAGATTATATAACTGAATAGAATTTTTCGAATGAATTTTTTCCGTAATAAACAAACAAAATAAATAAAAAAATTGACTGGGAGTTAAAACAAAACAAAAACGAAAACAAGCCAGAAGTCATAGGAATAATAATGATAATCAGATGAACAATAATCAATATATATAGTGTCAAAATAATCCAGGATACAAGTTGAAAAAGAAAGGCGGTATATGTTTACAACTATTCACTTTTATCATTGTTTTTTTTTATGTAAGAGGGGGGGAGAGGGATTAGTATTCAACTGTTTAATAACATGTATATGGTATATACACACATACACATATATATTGTTGTAGGCAATTAATGTAAATCATATGACTAATGAGGATTGACAAGGAAAAAAAAATAGGAGGGATTCAAACATACAAATACCCTCGTGATTAGATCATTTTTGTCTAGGAAAAAAAAATCACAATTTTTGCTGTACTTATTCTATTGTTGTCTATTAGTTTGGAACACTTGGTTTAGGCGGGTGTGTGTGTGTGTTTGGATGTGGATAGGGATGTGTTTGACTGTCTAGACAACAATAAGATAGAAAACAAATCTTTGATCAAATGGAATGCCCAATAATCAGCTATATGAGAATGATGATGACAATGATGAAATGAGATTAACAAAAGAAAAAATAAACGGATCTCTCAGTTGTCTTTCATTTATTTACAAAAAAAAATCGACTGGACATTGTTTTCTTATGTGTTCACCAAATTGGATGCTTTTGTTTTATTATCACTATTATATTGAACGTACTGCATTCGTCATGGTATTAAATGTTCAATCTTATTGAGTCTCATGTGATATTTGATGTAATAAATTTGCTAAATGAAGAAATCGTTTTTCAATTTCTGGATGTTTTAAAATTTTATTTATTGAATCGTAATATGTTGATCTAAGAAGAAGAAAAGAAAACAGATAAGTAACAGATGAAAAAACAAAAGTGAATATAAATATTTAGTGGTTAGCAGTGGAATCTAAGACACATCCTGGATTCCACTGCTAGCTACTATCTATCATTGCTTGTAATGCTTATGAATTAAGGCTATATCGTGACAATTAGCACAGTATACACATAAGCCAATAAGAGACTAATCAGTTGTAGTCCTAAACATCAATGGGAAGATTCAAGTAAACAATAAGAAATGAATTTAAAACTGAACATAAGTTCATAGGTATCAATGCCAAGATTGTACCTGATGGTTTATATAATCTAACAACAAACAATTCATGATACTACTCAGCCATCTAGTGGCTTGATTTGAAAATAAACTAGCACTTAATACATATATATGTCCGTTAAGCTATTAAAAAGTCATCAAATTATATGGTTTTTATATAAATAAATGATAGTTTTGACTTATACAGAATTCTGAGAGATTTTCTTTCATTTCATATTTCCTCATTGACTTTCGCAGTTACCTGACTGTTTATTATCTCTTTTAGATTGTGTTACCAATAGAGACAATTGATTAAAACACTATGCAAAAAAGATCATATTAGAAAACACGAATTGGTTTATTTTTAACTAATCAGCGAATGTCCGGCGCCTTAACCGGGCCTATGGACACAGTGAGTCCACTTAGTGCAGTTATGAACCCTGATTCCAAACCGATGGTCCACATGGGCTCAAGGATCCTGATGGAACAAATGACGTATGAACCAAGTGTTGGTCACTGGCTACTATAGGATTGCATTTCCTCACGATGCTCCACTATCTTGTGGATCAGGCCTTTAGGTCGAAGGCTCGGGGTATGGCCCCCCCAGAAAACCACCTGCTTCGGTCTGAGCAGTATCATAGCTTAAAAGACAAAAGAAGATAATCAAAGAATATCATGAGCTGACTAAAACTAATCCTCCACATTATTAGACCCTTGTCTAGTTATCTAAAGTTTAAACATTCTATCATGAAACCAAGGGTGATAGATTAGATTTTCAGTTATAGAGTTATAGATGTGTTCTATTTTAAATGGTCTCATATTAAGATGTACAAGTTGTCTAATACTTTTATATTTTCAACAATTATCTAATAAATACCCATAAAATCATAAGTCAATTGAAACTAGACCATCATGGAAAACTTGGAAGCGCCAGACAGGCGTTTCGACAACTGCATCTCTATGCTAATATGGTATGGCAACTCAAACTGATTTACGTACGTACGAAGTTCTACTTTGTGACTGACTGACTGAATGTGAGCCAATACTTCCAAGTTTTCCATAATGGTCTAAATTCAATGGACTCATGATTTCAACTATATAAAATTACTGAAATCTCCACAAACATCCCCCTCCTGCTGAAAATATTCATGACTTACTTATTATTATTTTTATCATTTATATATTCATAATTTTCTTCATTAGAACTTGTACTAGAATTCATGAATTGATTAGTATATGTGAAATTTTCATTTTTGGCTACAGTTTCATGGATTATATCAGTTAAATGATTAATAACATTATCATTATTATTATTATTGGCATTATGTTTATTTTTTATATTTTCTTGATTTATTAAAAATTTTTCAATATTTTTCTCAATCCCCCTTTCATCATCATCATCCCCACCCTTATTATTATTATTATTATTATTATTATTATTATTATTATTATTATTATTATTATTATTTTCATCAGTATATTTCATCATTTTTACTTTTATATTTAATTGTGATTGAAATAAATTTAAAACTTCATCTAATAAATTAGCTAATTGGATAATTGTTCCATTATTTATCGATTGATTGATTGATTGATAATGATTATTATTATTATTATATTGATTGGATAGTAATTTATTAGTATGACTGATTTGCTGATTGGAACTAATTGAATTACCAAATGGTCGATGATGACGATGAGGAGGAGGAGGAGGAGGATGCTGAGGAGAAGAAGAAGGAGGTGGATTGGTATGATTGATTGTTTTTGGTGATGATGATAATAATAAATAAGAATGATTCGATTTTAATTGTGTCATATGGGATAATTGATTAGAATGATTATTGATTTGATATTTATATTGTTGTTTTGTAAAATATTGATATTTTTTGTTAAAAATTTTATTCGATTTTAATAAATGATGATCAATAAAAAATTTTTGGATTTTTTTCAATTTTATCGATTTATTATTGATTAATAATGATGGATTTGATATTATATTATCATTATTTTCTTTTGAATATTGATTATTATACTGATTCAATGAAACACAAGAGATTGTGTATAATTAAGGAAAAAAGAGAAAAGAAAAAGAATTAGAATGATTTAATAATTATTTTTGAAAATTAATCTGAATAATATAATATCTATATTAGATAATAGTGAGTTATATCTTAGCAAAGATTAAACTATGGGTAACTTCTGCGCTGGTATGGCTGAGAGTGGGGAGAGTCCGCTCTCCCTCTCGTAATGCTCTCACATGGCCACGCATATATAGCCTCTGCCAGGGAAGTCCTACTCACCGCCTTCTCGCAACACGGGTGTTGTTTACGAAATTGAGAGGACGAAAAGCGAATGTTCGGAGCTTTAACCGGGTCGGTGGACACGGAGAGTCCAACTAGGTTAGTCAGAAATCAATGATTCCAAACCAATGGTGTACATGGGCTCCAGTATCTTGAGGGAACAAATGGCATATGAATCAATCGTTGGTCACCGGCCACCATGGGACTGCATCTCCTCACGGTGCTCCACTGTCTTGTGGATCAGATCATCAGGTCGAAGGGTTCAGGTGTGGCACCCTAATAAAACGACCTGCTTCAGATTGGGCACCTGGGTAGTATCACAGCCCTCATACAAATCAAATGAGATTTGTGTGGCGCATATATATCTGGTGTTTAAATAAATAAATAAGTAAATCTGAGAGGTATTAATGGACTAATATTATTATTGTGAATTTATAACTATTAAGTAATTAGTAAGCAGAGATGGATAGTGGCTAGCAGTGAAACAGGACGCGCGTTTCGCCCTATTTGGGACTCGTCAGCTGGATGTACCTGCATCTCAGAGTTGATGTTCACTCTGGGACTCGAACCCAGTACCCTCGCTTCAAACGCCATCGCGTTATCCACTCGGCCACTGAGTCCTGATAGCCACTTGCTTGTGCGATGGGGTGAAGTTTGAATTCACTTAGTATTGTTTGTTTGGATCTTCCCATCGATGTGTTTAGTTGCAGTCCTAAACACATCGATGGGAAGATCCAAACAAACAATACTAAGTGAATTCAAACTTCACCCCATCGCACAAGCAAGTGGCTATCAGGACTCAGTGGCCGAGTGGATAACGCGATGGCGTTTGAAGCGAGGGTACTGGGTTCGAGTCCCAGAGTGAACATCAACTCTGAGATGCAGGTACATCCAGCTGACGAGTCCCAAATAGGACGAAACGCGCGTCCTGGATTCCACTGCTAGCCACTATCCATCTCTGCTTACCATGCTTGTGAATTAAGGTATATCGAGGCAATACGCACAGTATGCACATATGCCAATTAGAGACTGACCAGTTGCAGTCCTAAACACATCGATGGGAAGATCCAAACAAACAATACTAAGTGAATATTAAGTAATTAGATTATATATATATATATATATATATATATATATATATATTTTCTCTCATTATAAGCTTTCATTTGACCTGTTGGTTACTATTGTATGATTTACTATTCTTAAGTCTAGTTTATTAACTACAGTCTCTCACGATCACAACCACTTTTATGGCTTGATCTTGTATAATTGTTATTTTCTACTTTATGGCATAATGGAATCAGGTTGGCTTGTATATAGTCCAAGTATGTTTCAAATATCTGATGCATACAGTGGAAGCTGTTATTGGCGTTCTGGACACAACAGTTAGGAGTAGGCAGGAAAAAGCATCAATAAGGATACTAGGCTGTTCATTACCGGTCAATAAGTTTTTGTGGTACAATGTTAAGTTTGTATAAGTCGTGCTCTGATAGGCTAGCTTATCACTCATTACAACTAGACCCCTTACAGTTCAGAGAACTGAATAACGTTAAAAGTCACCAACTAAACTATAAATCTCTTTGAGATTTACCATTATTATTATTTGTAATAATAGTATTACTGTAGTGAACAAGAACACAAATGAAGACAATCGGATATGATTCAAACACAAATTACACAACATCTTAGTCAAATCTGAGAACCCTACAGTGAATTCGTCATTTGCAAAATGTCAATCAACTGTCTCAGACTTGATTATCCTTCTGTTTCCACACCAATCACTCTCTATTCTTGTTCTCTTTTTGTTGATCTTTATTACCCTCTATCATCAGACATTTCACATTCGATTGATGATACATACTACTTATATCTATTGAAACCAGTAGCACATACCACATTACTAATAATTATATAAAAACTTTCAATATTAATAATTATAATTCATTGAATTACTTTGAAATCATCTTACCTTATTTGGACATTTTGATTTTAAAATTTTCACGGGTCTTGAATAAAGTTGATTATGATTGGAGTATTCATTGACAAATTGTAGTTGTACAGGAAAATGTTTGAAGGGATAATCACTATTATTATTATTATTACTATTATTATTATTATTATTATTATTATTATTAGTAGTAGTAGTAGTAGTAGTAGTAGTATTACTAATACAAGTCGTCAATGGAACCATTAATTGTTGATAATGTTTCATATAGATATGAAATATGATAGACTTCCATGAATTTAATTTAACTGAACAAAATTTACATCCGAATTTTATGAGTAGTCTATTTCTTCTTAGAAGACAAGATGATTTTGGTTTATTGATTTTCAGAGGGCTTTTTGAAAGATTTACTGACATCATTGAACTGTTAGTAGCTAAATTAAGTGGACTACATTCAAAAGATAAGGGAAATTTATTGTCTTGAAAATGATTATTCATAGTATAATCAATGTTTACTTTATCATCAATTTTATGCGAAAATTGTTTAGATGTTGAGGAAGATGATGATGTTGATGACAAGGAGGAGGAAGAGGAGGATGACGATGAAACAGGCAAATCGATAATACCTTCACCAACTGATAATAATACAGGTGATAGATTAACATTTGATTCAGATGAACTACAAATACTTTGTTCACATTTAATTGGTAAATCAGTAAAACGATGATGATGATTATTATGTTGACGTCTTCGATTTTTATATTGATGTATAGTTCGTCTAGCTTCTTCTAAACTTAATGTTTGTACTTCACCATTTCCATTGTGAATTTGTTTTATATGTTTGCCAACATCCCATTTCCAATTACTTCTGTATGGATAAGATTAAATAGGGAAAAACATGTTACATAAACAAATTGAGATTTTAAAAGCTTTAAATTACAATTCCGTATAGACTACTTTCGATCTGCTCAAAATATTCCATAAACTTCTGATGATTAGAAATGTCCGACTATTGTAATGTGTCATGTTTTGCTGAATCGACTAAATAGACAATTTTCTCAAATTTAATATATCAGTGAACACGGAATACAACACGGAATCTACAAATAATAATACTCTAGACACATTCGTTAATGTTATCAACATAGACGGTTGATTGCCGATCTTATGTCATCGTTTTAGTTTTCATTGTTTATTTATTTATTTAAACATATAAATATTAGTACAAAGTGGCACCAGATATTATTGCGCCGCACAAATCTCATTTGATTTGTGTGAGGGCTGTGATACTTCTCAAGTGCTCAAACTGAAGCAGGTGGTTTTCTTAGAGGGCCACACCCGGAGCCTTTGACCTAAAGGTTTGATGTACAATTCAATGGAGCATCGTGAGGAGATTCAGTCCCATGTTAGCCGGTGACCAACGATTGATTCATACACCATTTGTTTTCTCAGGATACTGGAGCCTATATCATTATGCCCTCAGACATAACTATCAATAGAGTTGTAATTATGTTTTACAGACAATACTTTGATATAGATTAGTCAGTGTATATACTCAATGAATAAATAAATCAATTAAATCATTGATTTAAAAGAAAATCAAAACGAACACTAAATTATCTCACCTATGACCACAAACAGAACATTTAAATGGTCTGTAATAACCTTCACCAGTAGTCGTTGTAATCGTGATATTAGCAGTACAATTAGTAGTAGTAGTACTAGTAGTTGCAGTCAATCCAACACAAGTTATCCATGAACTGGAATTTGTTGATATATCTGAATTTGTTTCAGTTAAATATCGATTACGTGATAATTTCATTCGATTCATATATTCATTATAAGTGCTTTTAGCATCTTCTAAATCTAATGTAATTGTTATAATGTTTGTACGTTCTGGATGTGCAACCTATCGAAAAAAGATAACAGAAGTGAATATAATATGAAATAATTATATATCAGTTGGAAGCGTGAGTCAATTGAAGCTAAACCACCAGGGAAAACATGGAAGCACTGGACGGCCGTTTCGTCCTATTGTGGGACTCCTCAGAAGTGCGCATCCACGACCTCGCCTCGCGAGATTCGAACCCAAAACCTACCAGTCTCACGCCAGGGCACTTAACTGATAGACCACTGAGCACTGCTGAGGAGTCATACAATAGGATGGAATGGCCATCCAATGCTTCAAGGTTTTCCCTGGTGGTCTAGCTTCAATTGACTCACGCTTTCAACTATGAAAATAATAAATCTCCACAAAAACCCTCTGTTAATCATTATCATATATTAGCTTGTGCAGTTAGTAATCGTGAATGCATGTCACTAAATATCATCAACTGGGACACCAATTTACCTTGTTATTGTATTCATTTAAGACCAGCTGAGATGACGCACAACAGTTTGCATTTGTAACGACCATTCATTGTAAACGATAATAACTCTTGTTTCATCCACATGATGGCTGAATTTTACCTGTCATGAGTTGAAGCTGTCTATAAACCACATTCTATGACCATTAGACGAGCATGTTAATTATAACTGATATCAATTCATAACAAATACCTGTTAATTCTGTACATTTCAGTTCCTCATAATCTGCTTTCTTTTTGTGTATTGGTTATACTATTTATTAATTAAAAGTAACTAGATTTAGTTTCTATCATTTTTGAGCATAAGTAGTGTTTCTGAGCCTTAACATGAACTTGTGACATTTAACTGTTACTTTCAATCCTTGTGTATTCACAAAACATTTATTTGTTTGTAAGAATTGACACTTATCCTCTTCGTTCAATTTTTGGTCGACATCATGTTATTAATACAGTTAGAGGCTGTTATATGGGTTAGCATATATTTTGCAAGAGATTTTCACATAATGCCACTAGGTACTTCAACAAATCACTACATGCACACGAATATATAAACTTACTTTAATATGTTTATTTATATCCCATTTCCAATTTGATCGATGACCACAACCTGAACATTGAAATCGTTTCCATTGTTCTTCTTTGTTGTTAATATTACTGTTAGTAGTACTATTATTATTACTTATATTAGTACCGGTACAAGTAGGATTAATTACATCTAACTGACTATTAAATAAACTATTGACTGGTGCAGATTTACGTCCTGTATTGGTTTTAGTTAATAAACGATGAGATTCTTTTCTTCTACCTGGTGTAAAAAATCGATTAACTTGTAACTGATGTCTTGGTTGATTTTGAATTTGTAAACTATTTGATAACTCCAATGAATCGATACTCGATGGTACTGACCAATCTGATGGGGAATTCATATTTTCCAAATTCATTGATAAATGACTATTTCTTAATTTATTATATTTAGTAAAATCAATACTTAAATTTTCATTAATTTGTGATTGAACTGTTGTTGTAATCGATGATGGTATTAATCCGGGTAATTGATGATTTGCAATTGATCTAAACATTGTATGATATGGTGTATTAGTACTAGTAGTACTAGTAACAGTAGTAGTAGTCGTAGTACCAGTAACTGTTGTAATCGAAGCAGTTATCGTCCTAGTAATTTGTGTTACATTATTATTATTATTACTAGGCGAAAGGTTTATCGGTATCGTGGCTGTTATAGGTGATGTCATGTTGATAATATCATCAGGATACGTTGTTACTCTTCCATAAGGTATAGGTGAATCCTTGTTTTGTTCTGACTGTTGTTGCTTTAATTCGTGATACCTTTGACTGTGTTGTTGTTGTTGCCATGTTTGCAGGAGGCCAGTCATTAAAACCTGTTGTTGAATATTGAATAGTAAATTAATTGTTGGATTTGATGAATTATTTTTCAGTGGGTCAGAAATTAATGAACCAATTGTATACGGTGATATCATTGATGTATTATTATCATTAGTTGTATTAGTAGTAATACTATGTGTAATATTCTGTTGTGAATTAGATAAAATAGGATAATGAAATCTTGTATCCGACAATGTATTGTCAGTCGTAATACTAGATGTTATGGTTTTTGTTGTTGTTGTTGTGGTGGTGGTGGGGGTAAAACATTTCGTTATTGAATAAATACTATTGCTTAATTCTGTAGAAAAATTCGGATAGGCATAATGATAATTGTTTCCGAATGAAATTTTTGGCATTAATTCCGATGATAATGTTGACGAGGATGAACATGTGTTTGTAAGTAATATAGGGTTCTATTTTATTCATCGATTGAATAGAAAGTAGATGGTGTAAATGAAGGAGAGGAGGCAGGAAATAAAAATAAAAACATGATTAATTCATTGACGAAATCAGTATAATATAACACCATGCATTTATATGAGAAAAATTTGTTTATACTCATGCTTAAGTAAGTGAGTTTTTCATACTACTACTTATTCAGTAAAGCATTACATGCATGTTAAATATTTTATGCAACTATTAGACATCAGTGTGTATTGCATACATGACAAACTAAGTTATACAAATGCTGGCTCTGATAACTGATTTTTACACAGCCACAAGTATCACATTTCAACTTAATCCTCAAGGTGTCTATAAAATATATAATGTGAAAATTAAACTACTTATTATTTGTTAGTAGTTAATGTTAGAGATATTAAGAAAACTAAACGAGGCACAGTTGAAATATCATACAAATTAGAAATGTGATGTATTTTAAGAAAATATTCCTCATACAAACCTTTTAGGTTACTTTTTTAAGAACTTTCGACCATCAACCTATACATTTTTGATTATTAAGAAGGTCCAATTAAGGGTCATCAGAATTGATCAACGACTAATTTGTGAGCATTTTTATGTGAATATTAATAGAGGAGTTAGAATTTAAAATGTTGATCAAAAGTTTCTTGGTAACTTCTAACTTATTTCATATGAATGATCTGAATTGTTTTATGGAATATTTTCACTTTTCACTTTTGAACATTGGATCCTGAATTTTCTATAAACACGCTGGTTGAAAAATGAATATCGCATAAATCAGAACTTCTATATACAAAGACTTTCTAAGTGAATTTATGAACATTCAAAAGTTCTGAAGATTGTACACTTACTGAACATTGAAGATATATTGGATAATCTAAGCTTATAATACCCTATGTAATATTGTGTTGGTTCGTATGTGTCTGTGTTTGTTTATGTAACAATCACCATGTTAGTATTCATATGAAAAAGTGTACTATACAAAAGTTATCAACAACACAACAGAACAGATTCGTGCTAGGATAAATAATAATAAAAGTATAGTGGGTTTTATCACTACGAAAAAGCCGTTAAAATATTCACAACAATAATTGAAAAATAGACAACATTCAAACAAAGATTAAGCACGTACTACTTATGACACACAGTAGTAGTAGTAGTAGTAGTAGTAGTATGATTAATGTTATAAACACTTTTTATAGCATGTTAATACTGTTATTAGGATGATTATTGATGTTTCAATAGTTAGTAATGTGATATACATTATATATATAGATAAACAATAAAAATAAATACAACTGACTTGTTCTGATAATTATAATTAGCTCCTGAAAGTTGAAATAAACATTTTTACAGTAAATAAACAAAAAAAAATTTTTTTTTTAATTTTTTTTTGTGTATCATCAAACATCAACACAATTTGTTAATCATGTAAGTTTGTTTTTTCCGCCGTCTATCCGGGTAACATGTTCAGAAACAGTGAGATATAAATTGAATGTTATTACCGAATAAGTTAATATAGTATCAATGTGTTGAAATCATATGTAATTTTCTTTCTTATAAAATATTTATTTTCAGAAGGGGGTATAGTGGAGATTTTAGTAATTATATATAGTTGAAATCATGAATCAATTGAAGTTAGACCAACATGGAAAATCTGAAGGAACTGGACAGCCATTTCGTCCTAATGTGGGACTCCTTAGCGAGACTGATAGGTCCTGGGATCGTGGATGCGTACAGCTGAGGAGACCACAATAAGACGAAACGGCAGTCCATTGCTTTCAGGTTTTCTATGGTGGTCTAGCTTCAATTGACTCATGAATTCAACTATAAATATACTAAAATCTCCACAATACCCCCCTGTGAATGTTGGTTTGTTGTAACGCATGTGATGCAGTGTAGTGGTTTGAAGTGAGGACGAGTTGATCAGCCTGGCTAGCAAGAAGGCACCAAACAGATATGCGCCACATAAACCATTCGATTCGTTTCAAGGCTTAAATACTAACAGGGTGCCCAGATCGAAGCAGGTGGGCCACACCACGAGCCTGGGACCGGAAAATCTGATCTTTAAGGCAGGCATGTAACATTAGGAGATACAGTCCCATGGTAGCCGGTCACCAACAATGTGCACCATTGGTTTGGAATCAGGGTTTCCCATCTCCCTTACATGGATCCTCTATATCCACAAACCCGGTTGAAGCATAGGACATTTGCTTTTCGTCTTTTCAATTTTGTAAACAACAGTCATGCCGCGAGAAAGAAGTGACTAAGATTTCCCTGACAGTGTTTGCATACATGTGGCCATGTGAGACCATGGAACTGACTCTACCCACTCTCGATTGTACCAGGGCATTTGAACTATACATTTCTTTATTATTATGAATGCCAGCCTACTTTAAACCGATGTCACTGAAGTGAGGTTTCCAAATTTGAAATTGTTCAGTTGAACGAATTAACCATTACTCTGAAGTGTTTTTTAGTCTGTTAAACATACATAGCTATTCTTTTTGTTTCATTTCGTTATAGAGCAAATCGAGTAGGATTAGTTTTAAATCAACAATTGGTGTTTGTATTTATCAAGTAACCTTGTGGAATATTCAGTTTTTCTTACTTTACAACATATGGTTGTAAAGATAGTTGAATTTTAAAGAGATCACGAACCTATCCAACGATTGAAAATCTGGAAACATAATGCCGGCCTTTCACATTAGTATGGGACTCTTTTACAGTGTGTATCAATGACCCTTGGCCGTACGACCGAATACCTTAGTCCAAGACTACAGAGATGAGATCCGGCGGTTTCCAAGTCTAACTTCAATCAATCCATGATAGTTGCATGATATTGTGTTTAACAAAATCTTGAGTTTATATTGCCATTTTCAACTTGTAAAACCTGAGATACTTTTTTTCTGATTACTTTAAAAGACCTTAATGAGTTGCATTGATCAATACAAGAATAAGAACATAATATTACCATCTTTTCACCACCGAACGAGATTCATTGTGTCCAACGAATTAAATTTACCTGCACAGAATGTTAACTAACTCATACACCAAGTATGTCGTTTAATTACCCAAGCTGAGAGCAACACTTGTTATGTCAAAGCTTATGATACTTTTCAGCTATCTAAAACGAAGTAGGTGGGATATGAACTGAATTATAGATCTACTCTTCGAAAATTGAATGCTTCATTCACTAACCCCCCATTTTACTCACTTAAAAAGGTATTAGTTTTAAAAGTCCGGAGTGCCAAAAAAAATCAATGTCTTACGTATGTAATGACAAATTTTCCACTGTAAGTATCTGAATAATCAATCCCAAATATAAAACAATGATAATTTATTATTATCGCGTTAGTTAAACAGGTTTTGCTAAACTTTGGTTTAATTTATCAGTCGTACTTGTCATAGATTAATTTCAGTAGAAAAACCAGTCGACACAAAGGAGTGTTGGACAGTTGTTTCGTTTTATTATGAGAAGCCTTGTAATAGTATATCTAGTCCTAGGACCTTCAGGTCTCTCACAAAATATCCCATAATCAGAACCATCAGATTGTTTAGTTTACAACAAGTAATTAAACCAGAGATTAAAGCATTAAATTCCGAAATATTAGTTCTACTGAGTAATCACTCAATGTTAAAACCAGACGATCCTAAATTCAATCCCTGATGTGGTTGTAGACAAACATTACTGATAAGTTCCATTCTAAGATGTTCATATACTATCTACTTCTCAATAGCTCCTCAATAGCTCCTTTTTGAATAATACAATTTACAAATATGATGATTATGATTATAAATTACGATTACAAAAAAAACCCAGTTAATTTTACCTTGATTTCATCTTGTTTATGAGAATATCCAATTGAAAGATCAATTGGTAATGAATCATTCACTAATAATATATTATCATCATTTTGTATCATTGAAGAATTCTTAGACGGTGATGTTGATGATGATGACGACAACGACGACGACGAAGATTGTTTTATAGATGAATATGCAATTAAATTTAAAGGATCATTTGAAGTCATTTGAATTTCTGGTAATTTTAATGAAATTCCAGATAAGCATGATAAATGTGATGATGATGTTAATGATGTTGATGATGTCATCATTGTTGTTGTAATCTGTGGTTGAGTGAATACTGTTAATTGTTGTGTTAATGGAATCATTGAAACAATTGATGATTGAGTTGGTAAAATACATGATTGTATATTTGAAGAACATGATTGAGAATTGATGAATGAAGTTATAGGTAAAGATGATGTTGATGACGACAATGTTGATGATGAATACATTGTTAAAGAGATTGGCATTGATTCAATAGATGTATTCATATATTGTTCATTTATTGTTCCAATATCATTATTGATTATTGTTATTGGTAATTGATTACCACTATTTGGATGTTGTTTTTTTAAATGTTTAGTAATATCCCATTTATAATTACTACGTTGTCCACATATTGGACATTTAAATTGTTTTAAATTGATATGACTAGCCATATGATTTTTAAATTTACTTTGATTTTGTGCATGATATGAACATATATTACAGATTAGATTATTATTATTATTATCAATGGTTGACATTGGTGATAGATAATTAGGCATCATAGTTGTAGATAAGGTATTAGTATGATTTATAGTACTACTATTCATATTATTAGTAGTATGAGTAGTGATATTATTGATAGGATCCATACTATTCATTGAATAATTAGATTTTAATGAATGTTTACGTGAATATGATTTAAGAATTGAATTAAGTTTATCATCACCTTCATTGGAACTATGATCTGAATTTTCAACATCGATACTGAAACTATTATTACTGCTATTACTATTATTATTAGCGGTAGTAGTAGTAGTAGTGGCAGTGGCAGTGGCAGTGGTAGTAGTAGTAGTAGTAGTAATCATAATATTTTCTTCTTCTTCATCATCAATGTGTAAACAATTATATCGATCACTTGTATTATCCCCTTCACTACTTTCTGTTGTTATATCAAATTGTAAAATAGTTTGTCCACAACTACTAGTTAATGATGATGCAGCCGCTGCTGCTGCCACTGCTGATGTTCTTGTACCAGCATTATTTTTAAATTGTGACATAATTTTAATTAATTCTGTTTCACATGTAAAACGTTCTCTATGATGTGATTCCATATGACGTTTTAAATCACCTTTCCATGCACTACGATATGGACAAAAAACACATATGAATGGTTTAACACCCCAATGTAATCGCATATGACGATTTAATTCACTTTGATATTTTGCTACATATTTACAATGACTACAACAAAAACTTCCAGCTTTACCATTACGTGCATTTTCACGTGATTTTTGCATTCCATGTACAGAGCGTAAATGTTCTGTTAGATCACCATGCCATGGAAATGTTGTTGGACAAATGTTACATCTAATTGTGGAGAAGGATGAGGAGAAAAACAAAAAAGAATAAAGGTTTGATTTAACAGCGGAGATTTGATAACTACTAAGCTATTATAAACATAAGAAAATCCCTAGTAAATAAATAGGGTTTAAGAAAAACTCTACTTTAGCACTGTTAGGTTTAACAGGTACAACTCATCTCGTTACTCCATAGATAAAAACTTATTAATATTTCACAAAATTCTGTCGATATTCAAAAAAATAGGATAACATCACTTGAGGCTCGTTCAGTTTGACTTATTCAACTAAGCTAACTATCCAACAATCTGAAGCCTGTAATCACTGAACAGCTGTTTCATACTAGCGTTTTACTCCTAAGAAGTGCACACCCACGATCCTTCAACCGAGAAATGGACTCATGACCTTCAGTCTCGCACTCGAACACTTAACTTCTACATCATTGAAACAGGAATCCAACAGTGTACATTGTCCAACTTCAGTTGATTCACGATATTACGTGGTCATCGTACACTGTTTGTGGTGAATTGATGTCTCACATCCGTTACTTGTTGAGTTTAGCCACATCGGTTTCGAGATTGAATATCTTAAGTTCGGTCGTAAGACGCAACGTCATGAGTGCACAGTTCAAGAAAGTCCCGTATTAATTCATGAAAAGAAATGATATTTGTAAGATAACTGTAACTTGATGGTTAGGAATTTTATGGAATATAGGTTAACCGGTGAATGTTTTATCGATTTCTTGCACTTTTTATAAAAATTGACGATTGTTTACATTTATGAAACTGGATTTTATACTAGTGAATTACTAAAATTACTAGTGAGTAGTAAACACTTGTATTAACATACTATGTAACTCTTTCTTCAGCAGCAATGTTGTGCACTTACAACCACTGTTACAGATTAAAGCTAGGCATATGTGCGAATAAACAAAAATGGATAGTGGCTAGTAGTGGAATTCAGGACATCCATTTCGTCCTATTTAGAACTTGTCAGCTGGATATACCTGAATCTCAGAGTTTATGTTCACTCTAGGATGCTAACTCAGTACCGTTCGCTTCAAATGCCATCGCCATACCAAGTGAATTTAAACTTCACTCTATTGAACAAGCAAGTGACTATCAAGAATCAATGGATAACCCAATGGCGTTTGAAGTAAACAGTACTGGGTTAGCATCTCAAAGTGAACATCAACTCTGAGATGAAGGTATATTCAGCTGATGAGTTACAAGAAGGATGAAACGTGTTTCCTCGATTCCACTGCTAGACATTATCCATCATTGCTTATAATCCCTGTGACTTCAAGTAATATCGAGGTAATACGCATATTATGCACATATACCAATAAAAGACTGATCAATTAAAGTCTTAAATATCAATGAGAAGATTTAAGTAAACAATCATTTAGAAGAACAATGAAAGCTTCACGACTAAACCATCCAGCTCAAAGAACAAAACTTCATCAAAAAATATTTTGGAATATATTGCCAACAAAGGTCAAATTTATGTATCAAGGTTATGAACTTTATTATAAATAAATATTATTATGATTAAATTACTTCGAAATTATTTAACTACAGAATATGAACTCAATTTGTTTACAAAATAAGTAAAGTAAACAAGATATTCAAAAGTAGTTCTTTCATTATAATAGATCGATAATGTATATGCATATATGTATATGTATATGTTATTAACAAAATTATGTCATTTATAGATGATTACGGTTTTCAATTATGAATAAGAAGATATTCTCAAATGAAAATTATTTAACCCTAAATAAAAAAGGTATATTAAGTATGAATTCACTTAGTACTGTTCGTTTGAATCTTCCCATTGATGTTTAGCACAAGCTAGCGGCTATCAAGACTCAATGACTTAGTGGATAACGTGATGACGTTTGAAGCGAAAGGCACTGGGTTCGAGTCCAGAGTAAACATCAATTAAGGTGAAAGTACATCCGGCTGACAAGTCCCAAATAGGACGAAAGGCACGTCGGGATTCCACTACCAGCCAATGTCCGTCTTTGCACATATTAAGTATGTTGTATATTTTTTTCTTTTAATCTAAATTTATAAGTAAATGATTTATTAATGACTATTTTATTGGTTATTTAAGCTAAATTAAGCGGAGCAGATTATGGCCCTGTGTTCTCATGTATGAAATTTAATATTTTAATAATGAAATCAAGCCCCCAAAATGTTATAGGGTGTGGAGTTTCATCTCTCCCTCTAGAAATGCTTTCATATGACCACAAGTATACAGATACTGTCAGGGAAGTCCTTCTCACTGCCTTCTCGTGTCATTACTGTTGTTTACGAAATCGAGAAGACGGAAAACGAATATCCTATGCTTCAGCTGTGAGGTGGATATGGAGGATTCATGTAGGAGAGTAGGGAAACCCTGATTCCAAAACAATGGTTCACATTGGCTTCAGTATCCTGAAGGAAAAAATGGCTTATTAACCAATTATTGTTTACCGGCTACCATAGGACTGCGTATCCTAATGTTGCTCCACTGCCTTAAGGATCAGACCTTCAGGTTAAATGCTTACAGTGTGGGCTCCTAGGAAAACCACCTAGTTCGGTTTGGACACCCAGCCAATATCACAGCCCACATACAAATCAAGTGAATTGTGTTGCGCATATGTATTCGGTACACCTTTGTACCAATATTTATTTGTTCAAATGAATAAATAATAAAGAAATCATTATTCAAAAGACATAGAATCAAAAATGAATAGATTATGCTCAGGATACTCGGTAAAGTTAGCATATTGGTTGATCTTCAGTGACTGAAATGGTTAGGACATATATTATATATGAACAACAAGTACCTAGATCCATGATATTTGCTTTTGTACAAGTCTATTGCAAGAAAGCTAAGGTAGTTCAAATCAAAACGTTTATGAAGACATTATCTATTGCTGGTTATGGACTCTTAGAGTACTTTTGTAGTGAACAAGAACACAAGTGAGGACAATAGAATGTATTAGAACATAAAATTACAGAAAATCTTAGTAAAATCTGAGAACTATACAGTAAATACTTCATTTGCAAAATATCAATCAATTGTCTCGAACTGAACTATTCCTTTTGCTAATGTCAATCAATCCTCTCAAACTTCGATGTTCTTTCATTTCTATACCAATTGTTTTCTGGTTCTGTTCTTCCCTTCTCGATTTTTTCGACCTTCTGCTACCAGACATTCTATTCTTGACTAGTTATATACTAATTATGTCGATATAAGTAGCACACACCGTCACACCGTCATCATAATCATCATGATCAACGGTCGGAGATGATGAATGATATGACTCATCATTCAGGATGATTCTGATGATTTCATCCTTTGTCTTTTTATAGATCTTAAGTTCTACACATCTTTATCCCAGGAATTTTTCTCACTTTTCAATAATCATATAATTTGTGCTTAAACTTCTCGACTATTTTTAATACTGATACTTATATCTATTACTCGGGGATTTACATTGATAATTTCATCGCATCACATTGATTTGATGCGGCAACTTCAATCAACATATACGTTTTATACTCTACCTTGCTTATAGATGACCAACTAATAGGCTAACAAATACCAAATAGAATTCCATATGTCATATGTTCACAAAAAAAGTAATTTGAAAAATTTGAAAACTTCATTTATCTACTGATTTTATTCGCTAATAATAAGTATTTGTTTGTAAAAATCAGACTGGCTTCATAAATTATTTCCTGGAGTTCTAGTGTGAAGCATTGACCAGTGGAGTTCTATCGTGTCTGTTGTGAGGTAGTTACTCACAGAAGGCAATGGTGGAGGGTGGCGCAATTTCGTGGATTAGTTGAAGTTAGACAATAACACCGTTTGATGCCTGTTCAGTGGTCTAGACGTTAGGCGTTCGCGCGCGAAACTTAAGGTTCTAGGTTCGAGAGCGGCATCGTAAGTCCTACACTAGAACGAGACGGCCATCCAGTGCTTTTAGGTTTTCCATGGTAGTCCAGCTTTAACTGACTCATGAATACAACTTTTAAAAAACCAAACAACTGACTACTTTTCACACTTGACACTTTGCTTTAGATGAAAATTATGATTGAATATTTATTATTTGACTGATAACAATATTCATGTTTAAAAAAATTCCAAATTATCTTTTTATATTAGATGACTCACTAAAATTACAATGAATTATCAGTAGTATTCATTGATAATTACAGAGTAATTGATGTAAACAAACTTATATAATCACTTATTTTGCGTATTTCATTTAATAGTAGTACAACACAACTGAACAAAATAGTTGATTATGTAAATAAGATTCATAACTATTAAATCATAATTGTATTATGGACTGACTTATGTTACACATTCAGTAAGTCAATATAAGATACCTCAGGAACGAAACCTGACAGTCGAAGACAAAAAACCGCAGTGTGATTGTAGGTGCACACTGCTAAGAAATTTGATACAGATTCTCAGTTTTCTATAGTTGTATTGTGATGTGTGCTACTTATATCGACATAATTAGTATATAACTAGTCAAGAATAGAATGTCTGGTAGCAGAAGGTCGAAAAAATCGAGAAGGGAAGAACAGAACCAGAAAACAATTGGTATAGAAATGAAAGAACATCGAAGTTTGAGAGGATTGATTGACATTAGCAAAAGGAATAGTTCAGTTCGAGACAATTGATTGATATTTTGCAAATGAAGTATTTACTGTATAGTTCTCAGATTTTACTAAGATTTTCTGTAATTTTATGTTCTCATACATTCTATTTTCCACATTTGTGATCTCGTTCTTTGCAGTATAACTTAGTCCGCGATGTAAACTATGAAAACGTAGCGATTTCTAAAACCCTTTATTTAAATAATTTAGTGCTATATCAATTTGATTAATTAATAAATATTAATGAGAACACTGACTAGCACACACATTAAGATTTAAATAAATGATCAGTTAAGAAGTTTAAATAATAGGACATTGTGTCATTATCCAGTCATAGACATCATTCAGTGTCGTACATTAGTAATAACAACGAATATGATAGCAAATACTGTTGGTGAAAAGAAAATCTAGACTGATCATAGTGAAGTAACTTCTACAAGTAGAAATAATTAAAAACATGTGTTAAAGAACTTCTTGTAACATACCTATAACGTCTTCTTGAATCGACTTTTTTCACAACCGGTTGATGATGATTATCGTCATCATCATCTCCAAGTGTGATTGCTTTAATCGCAGTTCCTGTTCCCGTTGTGGTTGTAATTGCTGTAATAGATGTTGGAGATGTTGTTATTGATAACAATGAAGATGGTGATGAGGATGTCGATAGGGATAATGTCGACGATGATGATAATGAAAAACATTTTTGTTTCTCCTTAGATCTACCATTTTTTAAGGATAATGAATATGATCGAGATTTCTCAGATTTTTTCATCTCATTATTATTATTTGTTATCTTTGAAGCTTTGAATTTTGAATGGATCTCTGTTGTAGATGATGAAGATGAAGTCGATGAACTGTTTGAACAAGTCGTTGTTATCGTCGCAGTAGTATGAGTTGTGCTTGTAGTACCAGGATTAATACCAGTAATCGTGGAGATTACTTTAAATTTATCAATACTCCCTCCCATACTATTAGTATTAGTAGTACTAGTGGTAGCAATAGTAGTAAGGCAACAGTTGTTGTGATTTTTACTATATACAATATCTAACTTTTGATTTTTAAGCATTTTTTCAGTTGCCGTTGTTGTTGTTAATGATGAATTCATTTGTTCCGGTTCTGTTGACCAAAATTTTACACGTTGTGGTGTAGATGATGCTTGTAATGTAAAAGAATTATAGGAATGATAATTTGATTGTTGTAAATTCATTGATGGTTGATGTAATTGAAAAAAATCAAAAGATGTTGAATTATTCATTTCTATAGGCCAATCTAATTTCATAGATTTTATAGATGATTTAGGACTATCAGAATTCTCTTGATTCATTGTTATCATTGTTGATGTTGGTGATGTGATTGATGTTAAATTACCGGTTGTCAAAATATTAGATACTGTTACATCACCATGTACTAATTCCATATGTTCATCTTGTCTACGTGGAGATGATGCAGAGAAACCACAAACTGGACATATACACATTGTTACATCTGCATCATCATTTCCAGTATTTGTCGTGTTCACACCAGGAGTACTAGTAGTATTATTACTATTATTAACCAAGGTATGTATTGCACTGTCTGCATGTTGAGAATTTTCCACATTCGTCAAAATACCTGATGTATCTGGAATTAAATCATAATCCATATGAAATTGTATTATTATTATTATTATTATTATTATTATTATTATTATTATTAGTAGTAGTAGTATTAATATTATATCATCAAATAATTCTGAACTGTTAAAGTTAACGATAATAATAATCAATTAGGTAGATAAGACCATGAATTCATAGATATCTATCCATTTACATGTATATATGTAATATATTCATCAGCATTTAGTTATTAGCTTTGAAGCAAACTAAGAATACTCCTTCCTTTATACTTATATCTTGTTTGTTCAACATCAATAAGTACTAATGAGAAACATACATTGACACGTAAGCACACATTTATTTGCTTGTTATTCCTGTGCTATTTTGCTTATACATGACATTTTCTGATTTATGTACCATATACTGATTGAATGATTCGTTCACTCATTCATTCATTCGTTCGTTCGTTCGTTCGTTCGTTCATTCATTCATACGTCCACTCACTCAATCATGTTCACACAAGCAAAAAAAAAAGCATTCGAATAGACATGAAAATAGATATGCACACAAATAGTCGTGTGTTTGTAATTGGATCTACACCAAACTCGACAAAAGAAATTGATAATGAATAAACAACACAAGACACTGATTTTTAAAAAAAAGAGTAAATAGTCCAATTCGATGAATTAGACGGAGTTAAATACTCTGCACGAGCAGCAGAAATAATCAATGACTGACTGATAAATAACAAATCTAAATGAATATCCATCGTTTATAACCACACACACACACACACAGAGAAAATGTATGTCTGAATTCATTTGATAATAAAGATTGGTAATTGTAAAAATTTCTTAAACTAATGGAAAGAAAGAAATAGACATTGATAAAATGAATTTACGTAGTTGTGTAATTGAATTGAAAGAACAATGTTGATATTTGTTCTTATATAAATGTGCAAGTCTATTGTGTCTCTCTCTCTCTCTGTCTCTAGTGTGTGTATGTGTACATGTGTGCGTGTGTAGGGTGAGTATATGTGCATGTATAATATTGATGGAAATAATCTTAAGAACAACAAAATACAAAATTTCTTCAATTCGTGCATAGTTATCATAGAGACATAATTTTTAGAGTACTATTCAAAATGAAAAACAATAAACAAACTTAAAGTACAAATAATTACATGTTTTCAACTTTGATAAAATTACATTCTAGGACGAAACAACCGTCCAGTGCTTTGATGCTTTGTACGATGATCTAGCTTCAATTGATTCATGATCTTAAGTATTGAAATTACTATGATATCTACAACAAACTATTCTGATATATAAGAACTTTCGTCTAAATTAGAGTGAATAGTTTCATAGTATTTGGGCGCCAAGTTGATGTAAGGCATTAAATAGGAAGAATATGTATTTGTAAACTCTCAACGAATGAATTTGAAGTAAATCCAACGTTTCGCCTGGTAATATGGTCCAAGCTTCTTCAAGGAAATACATTTTTACTATTTAATGTCTTACATCAACACGGCACCCAAATACTGTGAAACTATTCGCTCTAATTTAGACGAAAGTTCTTATACGGATAGAATAACAGTTTGAATTTTACTATTACACATAATATGTTTTGAATAGTTAATAAGTAATTCCTAACTCAGTTACCTTCTTTACAAACCGTATTATTCAAAACAAAAACGGGTACATATTACTTATAAATAAGTTATATCAATATAAAATAATTAAATATATTGGAAGGGAGTTTTTTGTGGAGATTTTAGTAATTTTACATAGTTGAAATCATGATTTAATTGAAGCTAGACCACCATGGAAAAGCTGGAAGCACTGGACGGCCGTCTCGTCCTACTGTGGGACTCCTCACGCAAGGCGGGTCGTGAATACGCACTGCTGAGGAGTTCTACAATAGGACGGAACGGCCGTCCAGTGTTTCCAGGTTGTCCATGGTAGCCTTGCTTCAACTGAATCATGATTTCAACTATATAAAACTAAATATATATTATTAATCAATTCTAACTACTGAAGTATCCCAAGATATCTACATACAAGTTAACCAACACAATAGTATTGGTAGTTACTTTCTGTTTCATTTCAATGGGAATAATAAACATCAGCCTTATTCATATAAATATTATTACAATCAAATGTAATTAAATTCAACTTAGTATTGTTTGTTTGAATCTTCCCATCGATTTGTTAGGACTGCAACTGGTCAGTCTCTAATTGGCATATGTGCATACTGTGCGTATTGCCTCGATATACCTTAATTCACAAGCATGGTTAGCAGAGATGTCCCAAATAGGAAGAAACGCGCATCCTGGATTCCACTGCTAGCCACTATCCATCTCTGCTAACAAATGTAATTAGCTTTAAAAAACAACCTATAAAATTCTACCTTAACTCTAATAGTTAATGTGAATCTTAACAACTGAATGAATGCAAAATTTTTTTAAAAATTCTCCCTTAGCAACTCATTATTAATTAGATTATTAATTTACAAAATATTCTCTCTTTTTACCAAAATTGAAGAAGTGAAGTAAGGTAAGATCAATTTTTTTAAACGAAATAAAAAGTATTCACCTTATAAACTTAAAAAAAAACAAATTACCCTAGCCTCCCCCTCCCCCCAAATAAAAAACAGTTCAGTTTATTTTTTTTTTTGATCTGAACTATTCTATAGAAAATCAAAGAAACAAACAAGATACAACCTGATAAAACTTATTTTATAAAATTTTTTCTTTCTTTCCATAGATTTTTTCTTTATTAAGGTCAAAAACAATTTAGACGGACTGATTGACTGACTGATTTGATTTTATTATTTTCTCTTATTATTAAAACAAGAATAGAATAGTATAATAGATTTGGACATGCCCATAAAATGAAGGTCATTTATACAAGTGTGAAACATGAATAATATAAATGGGTATTTACTTTTAATCTTTTTTTCAATTTTTATGCCACTTTCTTTTTTGTATTTTTTTTTCTTTTTTTGATTTTGTTTATATTTATAAAGTTGATCACTTTTTTGTATTTTTTGTGTACTTTTAATGCAAGCGGAAAATTAATGTTTTTGAACAATTCGAATAATAAGCAAAGACAGATAGTGGTGGAATCCAGGACGCGCGTCTCATTCTATTTGTGATTCGTCAGTTGGATTTACCTTCATCTCAGAGTTGATATTCATTCTGGGATGTTAACCTAGTACCATTCGCTTCAAACGCTATCGCATTATCCTCTCAGATACTGACTCCTGATAGTCACTTGTTTGTGCAATGGGGCGAAGTTTAAATTCACATGATACTGTTCGTTTGAATCTTCCCACTGATGTTTAGGACTGTAACTGGTCAGTCTCTAATTGGCATATGTACATACTGTACGTATTGCCTTGATATAGGCTTAATTCACAAGCATTTCAAGGAATGATGGATAGTGACTAGCAGTGGAATCCAGGAAGCCCGTTTCATCCTATTTGTGATTCGTCAGTTGGATTTACCTTCATCTCAGAGTCGATGTCCATTCCGGGACTGGAACCCAGTACTATTCGCTTTAAACACCATTTCCATACCAGACGAATTTAAACTTAACTCCATTACACAGGTAAGTGACTATCAAGAATCAGTTGATAACATGATGGCGTTTGAAGCAAACAGTATTGGGTTAGAATCCTAAGTAACACAATTCCAGGTAAGTCCGAATAATGAGTACTAAAATGAATTTGAGCTCTTTCATTTTACTTTTCTATTTGTCTCTAGAAAGGAATATTGATTTCAATTGCATGGAGGTTATTTATTAGCCGCATTGATTTTTTGGAAAAACTAAAACACTATCTTGAACTTAATGAAACATCTTCAGTCTTATGATATATCTGGACAAGTAATAAGAGAAACAGTAGGTTTATCATATTAGTAACATCATTTTTTTTAAAAAAAAAATAATTATTTATTATGCCAAAATGAACTCATATACTAGATTCTGTGTTTTATGGGACTATCTTATTTTCATTTTTTGTTTAAAAACGATGAATTTACATTTGAATACCATCTATTTTTTAATATATCTGACATATTTGGCATAATTTAAAGAAATTTTTATGGTAGACTAGTCATTTTTTTTTTTACTTCTTTGTCTTATCCACTGTTTATCAAATAAAAGATGTTTGTGCAGGAAAATCGATCATATTATTATTATTATTATTATTATTATTATTATTATTATTATTAATGAACTCTGAATCTAATCTTATCAAAATAGAAAAATCCTCTTTTTGTACAATTTTTTCCAAGTTCCAGTCAAATGGAAAAATGAAATGGATGGGATAAAAAAAAGACGTGGGGTGGAGAAACAATAAAAGGGGTGATAAACTGAACTCAATAAGAAAATATAGGTTTATATATATATATACGAGGATAGGGTATATACAATGATAAGATAAGGATAAATATTATTTTCTCAGACACGTGACTAGTGATATTGCCTTGTTCTAAAAAGGATAATACAATAAAATAAGGAACTCCACTGTTAGCCATTATCCATCTTTGCTTACAAAAACTAAGGAAAGGTTTTAAAATTAACACTATATACGATATAGCACAAAAAGAATGATTCATTGTCTTCACTGTCTATTCCCTTCTATGTGCATTTATGTGTGCTAGTGTTCTTTTACCTATATGCTTAAAAGGTTCATGAAATATACATAAGTGATCTGAAATACAAAGTTTGCTTCCGTTTCTGTGAAATGGATAAAAGATTTGTCTGGTTCATTCATTATATATATAGATATGTCTGTTTGTTTTGTTCTACTCTGTTCTGACCGAAAAAGCAAGAAAATGAAATTAGATTAAATTCCTTTATTCATCCATATATTGTGATTAGCATTATAATGTAATGTAAGTATAAAACATAAAAGGAATAATGAGTAATAGTCAGACAATTGTATCTGATGTACTATTATTAATAAAGGCGCCTAAATTAAGTTTGTTTTTGTGTTTAAATAACATGAATGAAAGAAAGAATAGAAAAGGACGGAATAAGTAAACATTCATTGTAAGAGATAACAGAATTAAAACATTAGAATCATCTAGTCAATGGGAGAAATCAAATCAGAGAAGAATAGATTGTTCTTGTTGTGTGTTCTTTTGTGCTGTTATTATAAATAACATGATTATTTCATTAAAGATCCATAACCATTTATTGGTCAAGAGTTTATAGATAATGGAACTTTGTAGCTTACGACAAAATTAACCACGACTTCATTAAAATTAATGGGGCTCTCTTAACTGAAAGAGGTTTCTGTTGGTTGTATTGCTAACTGAACATTATCTCTCACTACATAATTCATTTACTGAACTTTTTTTCAGTCTGATAATACTCTGTTTATCACTGTCTTCTTTTTCTTAAATGTTATCTCGTTATTTTGTTTGGGGTTAAGTGTTATCGATATAATGCAAAATGGTAATGGACATTTCAATGAGGTAAATTATTTTAATACACAAGTTACACTTCTGAATGACAGAGAATTAATAAAAACATCGTTCCTCTTTCATTTGAAAGGTGACTTTCTTAATAACAGCTATATCTAGGAAAACTGTATTTAACAAGTTGACGAATATAATTTAAATACTCCGTAAACTATATAGTTACGAAGAAGTCGAGGAAATTGAATTGCCTGTTGATCAAGTAGGGTAAGCCAGGTTAGGTATTAACATGTGGAGTTTAACTTCAATGTAAACTAGCGGGTCACACCAGTTACGTTCAACTCGAGTATATCGATCATACCCATAAGTCAATTTTAATGGTGATTGTAATGACATGAAAAATAATTGGATTAAAAATAATCATATATAGAATGAAGTTAGACAGTGACAAGCATTTGAATCAAGCAAATACATGTCTCATCTTATTTATTGACTTGTAAACTCATCAAGGTTATCTAAAGTGTTTTCAAATTTCATTGTATGTATTAGAGTCTGTTCATAACAGACAGTTGCAAATAGTTCTATTCTCTTGAAGTTACACTCAAATATACAACAGTTCATTGAATGAATAGAAAAAATGATTGAAATTGCTAGAACATTAAAAAACATGACAATTCAACTTAATCTGACATAGCTCAACTGATTTTATTATAACTATGAATATATTTCGAAATCATTTCAAATAAGAATCATTCAAAGAGGACTTACTTTCATTATAATGAGTTTTATTCACATATATACCGGATGTATTAACCATCAATCGATCTATTGGCTTTGAATGAGGAAAATAAGGTGAAGTAGTATTTTCAAAAGTCTGTACATGAAAAAGATAAAGTAGAAGAGAGAAAAAAAAGTGGTGAAATAATTGATTTATGATCTTAGTTTGTATTTACAAATATGATTAATATGTGGCATTGATCTATGAAATTTATAACTGAGCTAAGTTAATAAAAATGCAGGCTACATAGTTGAGATTCTATGGTGTTTGTATTAATTAATGATTCCTTTGTACTTGACGACCGCCATATTTTAAATTATAAATGCAATACGTTCGTTTGTGCACACCTAGTTCCTTATGACTTGGAATAAGTTATTTTGGCAATTCCTAGTTTGTACAATGATTCAAATACTTCTAATTATCACAGATTCACAGACTGGTCTGAATTTATATATCACTGAATATTTGTTTCATCCTAGTATGTGACTCGTCAACGATGTGCACTCATAAGTGAGACCTTTCCATGAGGAATATTATAGTTAAATTATATGAATAAGAAATTAACATTAATTTAACTGAGAATATGATGACGAGTCCCAAATGGAATGAGACGGTCGTCCTGGATTCCACCGATAGCCACCATCCACTTCGGCTAATGAGTTGTTTAGTATTCTAAGCTGAATGATTTCACTCGTACACTTTTCATTGTCTTACTAAACATTATCAAATCAAATAAATTATGATTTTAATAACAAAAATGAATAACTTCCAAAGAAAGTCTCTTAGTTCAAAGAATCCTTGAATTAACTCTATAGATGTTAAAGATAGTACGATACTGCTCATCTAACTAAATCACAATATGTAGAGAATAGAATAATATTTAATTTGTGAATAAATTCGCTATCTTTCACTACTATCACCTATTCCCCGTGGCGGATAATTGTTCCACAACCTGCATACTTGAAATCCATTAGTCACAGCTTCTGACTACCATCGGTTGAACATTTTCAGGTTAGTAACTGGTGGTCCTGGAATTTGACTCTCTCTTTGATCATGAATGAACAATACTACAGTAGAGTATGGTCTACTAAGCTCTCACATACTTATAAATTGATATAAAGTAAATGTTTATTGCGTAACTTACTTGCATAGGATTATTTTCCAAACTGAAAGAAAAGAAAAACAAAGTAACCGTAATACTATTGGTAGAAACTATGTGGAAAAAAACCTGTACATAGAAAAATTTGATAAGAGAAATATTATAGTACCACTTTGTTACAAGTAAACCAGTGAATTTAGTTAACTTATTAGAGTGAGAGCTTATGGCGAACTGTCATCTGAATTTACAACCTCAAGTGGTGTCCGTCAAGGCTGTCCACTATCCCCATTTTTGTTTAACTTCATTATAGACCTGTTGCTGGAAATAACACTCTCTTCGACTGAATCTACAGGAATTGATCTCCTACCAGGGGGACCACTAAGCGACTTAGAATACGCAGATGACATAGTCCTGTTTGGTGAAGACGCTGGCAAAATGCAGAGTCTTCTGTTGGAACTCAGTAATAATGCCAGGATGTTTGGGATGCGTTTCTCCCCATCCAAATGTAAATTGTTACTCCAGGACTGGCCTGCGTCAACACTCGAACTAAGGATAGGGAGTGAAGTAGTCGAACGCGTCGACAACTTCACTTATCTTGGAAGTCTAATCAGCCCTAATGGGTTGGTGTCAGACGAAATCTCAGCACGGATTCGAAAAGCTCGTTTGGCTTTTGCCAACTTACGTCACTTATGGCGTAGACGAGATATCCGTCTATCAATTAAGGGACGAGTATACTGCGCATCAGTTCGCTCTGTCCTACTTTACGGCTGTGAAACATGGCCATTAAGAGTAGAAGATACTCGTAGGTTACTAGTATTTGACCACAGATGCCTTAGAAATATTGCTTGCATCTGCTGGGATAACCGGGTAAGTAATAGTGAGGTTAGACGCAGGGTATTAGGAAACGATGGTAAATCAGTTGATGAGGTGATGAATCTTCATCGACTGAGATTGTTGGGGCACGTGTTACGTATGCCTGAACACCGATTACCACGACGCGCTATGATGACTAGTACTGGGGATTGTTGGAAGAGAGTTAGGGGAGTCCAAACCAAAACATGACATCAGTGTTTGAAGTCACTAACTTCTAGTCTGAGCCATGTTGGCAGATGCAGGCTACCTGGTTGGGGTCCGCGTGACTATCGTAACCAATGGTTGGAGACTCTAGGTGACATGGCTCAGAATCGGTCACAATGGCGTAGGTGTATACACTCTTTATCTTCCCTTAAACCTTGAGACTAAAATTGCTTCATATCTCTCTTCCTTCCTGTACTATATCCTTATATACAACCTATAATTTATATACTACTACCAACACTAGATTAACTACTATGAATCCGGTGTTCCTCTTGTTGTGCTAACGAGGTATGGCAACTTGGACCGATGCATATATGTGCCTGGTCCTACGTTGTAGCTGACTGACTGACTGTACTTTTTGAACTACTCGCTTCTCTTTTCATTTTCAAAGAGACATTAGCAAATAATATGGAACAATAAGGGTATTCTACTCAACTGATTAAGTTAAAATGTCTATCAAGTCAGCCCACTGAGAAACCTGAAGTTCTTGGGTTCGATCCCTGGTGGGGTCATGAGTGAAAACTACTGAGGAGTTCTACATCAGGATGAAACAGATGTTCAGTTCCTGCTGGTTTTTAATAGGCGTATAACTAGAGCTTGATTCATGATATAAACTATAAAATATAGAATACAATTCAAAAAGAAGATTAAACACAAAATAATTTTGAAACTCAAGATTTTGTACATGCGTAGTACATATATCCTGTCACAGAGACCGAATATTAAAAAGGAATTTTAAGTGGTATTGTGTTCAAACACAATTATAAACAGTAAGAAAATCAAATTCCATAACAACAGAACAAACTTATTGATTGATTGTGCTGTGGATCGCTTACTTCTTGCTGAAGTGGCAACAATGATAAATAACGAGTAGTTTAATAGTTTTATCAACTTATTCAAAAATTATAATATCTCTTAAATTGTTCTCTTTCCCCTGTTTCCTTAAAAGTTTTCTCTATCATCTTCTAGTCAATATAAAAAGTCAAATGTATTCATAGTTTCACACGATGGAATTGATTTGGTCACATTTAATCAGAACTATTTGTCTATATTAAAGTGATACTAAGATGTACAATAGTAGTTGAAATCATGAGTCAACTGAAGCTAGACCACTATGGAAAACCTAGATCAGTGGTTCTAGAGGTTTAGCGCTCGCGCGCGAAACTGATAGGTTCTGGGTTCGAATCTCGCAAATTGGGATCGTGGATGCGCACTGCTAAAGAGTCTCACAATAGGACGAAACGACCATCCAGTGCTTCCAGGTTTTCCGTGGTGGTCTAGCTTCAATTGACTGATGATTTCAACTAGAAAATCTATAGAAGTTTAAATTGTTAAATATAATTCAGTTTTCATTATTTTAATTATATAAAATTTGTTTTATTTATTATGTTACTGTCATTCACAATTGCTTCATCTTAAATGACCTACTGATAAACTATTTGATTGATATGTATCTAATTGATACGTTTACTGTTTAAAAGGAACCAATATCTATAAACCTACAATATATACAAGTTTCCACTTTTCGTCTTCACACACACACACACACACAAACAAACATCATTTCATTCATACATTTATATGATTAATGGACAAATTGTAAAAATTTACCAAAAATTTTTCAGATATCAAATAAATAGCACTAACTTTCTGTCGATTATGTAATTTGGTTAATGTGTACACTACTGATATCCATTTAAAACTGTCAATTTTTTTTCATAAACAGTTTATAATTATATTTATCAACAAACTGTTTCTATCCATCTCCTCTCCACCCTTCCTCTCCCTCCCTCTAACTCTCTCTCTCTCTCACTCGTTCTCTCTATGTAGATATATTTATGTAAACAAGTTTAGTATACTCAGTTAATTCATAATCTTTCTTTGTCCTCGAAAGGTGTATGTACATTTAATGTGTAATCAGAAATTTCAATTTATCATTAAAATGTACTGCATTGTATTGTACTGTACTGTATTGTATTGTACTGTATTGTACTGTACTGTACTGTATATTCTGTAATTGTATACATGTATTACAGTTGATATACATGACGTTAATAAAAGGTATGATGAGAATATGAACATAAATTTATTTATATCAATTTAAAATAAAAAGACTTTCTCGTTGATAAGTGAACTAAGTTTAGTTTATAATAACCAATTTCAATGTTATATGCCATCATCATTATCAATTGTATGTACATACATGCAATACATATACATGTATATATATATATATATATGCGTATGTTTAGGGTAAATGAGTGATTGAAGGTATTCAAATGTCAATAATAGTAGTCGTAAAAATTTACTTATATACCCATGATTGTCCACAACAAGGTGACTATTAGTTAGATGACAATTTCAATTTTGTATATTTACAATTAAAAATTGTACTACCCTTCTTTTTTGTTTCTCAACATTAAGTGATGATGTAAACGAAGTCAATGGCGACAATTCTGTTTAGAATGTTTTTGAAATAGTTTATTAGTCATTAAAACGTATATCACACAGTAGGAAGATGAAATATAATAATAACTGGCAGGGGAAAACTGTACAGAATTGTAACTAACTGATAAATAAGATCACTAAACTGATGGAAACTTCCAGTGAACCGATATGAGAAGATGAAATAGTTTGTCACCATAGTCTCCAAATGCCATGATACAGCCGAGAGTGGGGAGAGTCCGCTCTCCCTCTCTAAGTGCTCTCATATGATCACGCGTATATAGCCTCTCCCAGGGAAGTTCTACTCACTACCTTCTCGTGGCGGGGATGTTTTTCATGAAATTAAGAAGACGAAAAGCGAATGTCCGACTCTTTAACCGGTTCGCTGGACACGGAAAATTCACATAGGAGAGTTGGAAAACCCTCATTCCAAACCGATGGTGCACATGGGCTCCAGTATCCTGAGGGAACATATGGCGTATGAATCAATAGTTGATCACCGACTACCATGGGACTACATCTCCTCACGTTGCTACACTTCCTAATGGATCAGATCTTTAGGTCGATAGCTCCGGGTGTGGCCCCCTAAGAAAACCGCCTGCCTCAGTTTGGGCACCTGGGCAGTATCATAGTCAAATGAGATTTGTGTGGCGCATATATATCTGGTGCCCCTTTTGTACCAATATTTATGTGTTTAAATGCTATAATAAATTGTCACCACAAAAAAATATGTAATGTCTTTTATTGGTATTTCAAATACAATATAGAAATGTATTTTCTATTAAAAAATTCGAAATAAACCAGTCCTTCAGTACATAACATGAGTAAATATTAGGTATCCAACATAGGTTATGTCATAGATTGGCTAACATTAACTGGGAAATTATCTTTATGTGATAATTCTCACCTTAGATTATCAAGTGTCAATATGAGGTTGTATTTTATAAACTAATTAGCTGGAATTAAGTGGTTGGTATTTCTTACTTGGTAAATGAAATAACTTTGAACACAAACAATCACAACTACAGTGTTAACTTTTAGATAAGACAAAACACACTTGAATTACATTATTGATTTCGATAAAATCATTCAAATCAAAGGGTGTGTGTGTGTAGGTAAAAATATTTATTATTGTGCTTATATGTTTTAAATTTTAGAAGTATTCCATAACTGTCCTAATGAGAAACTACATATCCCTTATTCTAATTAAACAGAACTGGAGTAATTTGTGCATTTTAACTTTGCCTCCTTTATAAATCGATATACTAATGATATTTCTCTCGGCATGTATCACAAAAGAGAACAAAATGTATGAGCTTATATGTTCATTAACTTACACACACACACACACACAGATACACATAATCATGCCTGCAAACATAATATGAAAGAGACAGAAACTGCACGTAAAAGATTTTCAATCATAGTAACAATAATACTACTAATAATATCTCTATGGACTATGAACTGCACAAAATTTATAAAATTAAGCAAATTTTATTGTCTCCTTCCCCTTTATCTCTTTCTCACACACACACACTCTCT